GCCCCACAAACCGGGCTCCCTGCTCTGCAGGAAGCCTGCTTCTCCCTCTCCCACTCCCCCTGCTTGTGTTCCCTCTCTCACTGTGTCTCCGTCAAATAAATAAATAAAATCTTTAAAAATGTATATATATTTATTTAGAGATAACAACACCCATATTTTTAGAGTGCTAAGATTTATTACTGTTGATTCATTTGTGTAACTACTATAAAATATTCCATTATGTACTCTTCATAATTTGTCCCTTCTGTAATTCCAGTTCTTAGGCTATTATAAACAATGTTTCAATGAAAAATCTTGTATAACAAGTCACCTTGTACACATGGAAGAATTTCTCTAGGGCACTGTTTTTTAAACCTTTTTTTTTTTTTAGAAAGGTCTGGGTCACAGTAAAAATATGTATTATACACTCAGTATACACATACACACATACTTATATAGCTAACAAATTAAACAGAAGTTTTAGTAAACAATTTTCATGCTTACTACTTATAATCTGGCCAGGACCATCTAAGTTAATTTTAGGAGCCCCTACTGGATCATGCCCTGTGATTTGATTTCATGTTTTAATAGCAGTCATGAAATTCAGTCATTAATTTAGTGAATTGAGATCAGCATTTAAGAAATTAAATAGAATATATTTTGAGGTACTTTATATCATGAGGTTCATTATATCAAAACTTCACATATATATATACTGGTTCATGATGTGGTGGTAATTTCTTATTGGGAGTTGGGCTCAACTAAGTTTGGAAAAACATTATTTTTGACTGAATATCTAGGAGTAGAATTAAGGGTCAAAAAATATCTGGCTACCCAGTATAATGATTTCAAATTCCTTCGTCTACTTTTTTTTTTTTTTTTAAGAGAGGGAGAGAGAAGGGGTGGGGAGGGGAGGGCAGAGGGAGAGTGAATCTTAAGCAGGCTCCACACCCAGCGTGGTGTCCTACCTGGGGCTCGATCTCACAACCCTGAGATGCCCTGAGCTGGAATCAAAAGTCAGACACTGACTGAGCTACCCAGGCACCCCCTTAGTCTACATTGTTAATAAAAGAATTATATACCTGAACACTAGAAAGGCCAGGATATGGAAGGCTTCTTGAAAAGAAAGATTTCCATAGCTTGGGCTTGGTGACATCAAAGTTTATCCGTAGTGGGGAGTCATATCGTTGAATATTAAACCAAATCTAAAAAAGATAAGACTACATTAGCATATATGGCAGTGTATATATATACATGCTTTTGTGTGCATGTATGTAGAGAGAAAGAGACAGCAAGAGGACACACAAGATGCACTTTTTTTTGCATATTTTGATTTGTAAAATCAGCATGCCTTTTACAATCAGAGGCATCATAAAATGGTCACTGGCCACTTTTTCATATTTTTTATATCTGAAGTTGAGGTGCACCTTACCACTGATTGTAGGTTGACAAAATAAGATAGTTCCTGATAAGGAAAAACTTTTTAGAAGATAGACAAGGCTATTCCTTTCTCAGTCTGGCTTTTCCTAACTCGGTTCTTCCCAGCCTCCTAATTGAGTTAGGTGTCTTACCTCTTTGCTTCCACAGCACTCTGTAATCTCTGAATAGCACCTGTCTTGTTGAGGCGTGCAGCATATTGGTTCTGGAATCAGGCCACTTGTATTTGGAATTCTAGCTCCAACATTAACAATGGTGTGACCTTGGGTGATTTTTTTTTTTTAAGATTTTTATTTATTTGTCAGAGCACAAGCAGGGAGGAGCAGGCTCCCCGCTGAGCAAGGAGCCCAGTGTGAGACTAGAACCCAAGACCCTGGGATCATGACCTGAGCCGAAGGCAGATGCTTAACTGACAGCCACCCAGGCATCCCTTGGATGATTTATTTAACTTCTTTGTACCTCATTTTCCTCCTGTATGAAACTGGGATAATAGTACCCACCTCAAGGTTGTTGAGGCAGATTAGTTAATTCACCTCTTAGAACAATGCCTGGTACATAGTAGGTGCTCAGTAATTGTTAGCTAATTTATTACTATTATTGGTGTTTATCATTGTTAATAATTGCCTGTCCATCCCCCTGCCTCCTCACTAGGTATGGCATTGTCTTGAGGACATTTGCCATGTGCCTTATTCACCACTGTATCTTTAGCATATAGCGTCGCTTCTGGCATACAGTAGGCATATTGAACGCCCGTGTGCATCAGTGGTAAATTTGTGCATTCAACATATTTATCAACTACTGTGGGCTGAGTTTCAGTCACTAGGGATAAAGTAGTGAATGAAACAGAGTTCCTACCCTTATGCAGTAGCTAGTGAGAAGATAGTGTGAACAAATAAGTAAATACGTGGGTTTCAGATGATGTTACATGATGGAGTAGATTGTATCACTGACCTCAGTTCTTCACCCCTTCCTATATCTACACTCTGTCATGTTACTTTGCAGTTCCTCCCACTAAAAGGGTTGAAATGTATTTCCCTGCTCCTTGATGTTTGGTCAGTAGAACAGGACGGAAGTGTTAGTGTGTAACTTCTGAGTCTAAGCTAAGGAGGCTTTGTGTGTTCCTGCTTGCCTTTTTGTGCTTCTGCCATTGTCACTGCCGAGTCCCAGAATAAACACACATGAAGCAGAGCTGTCCCAGCTGACCCAGAGAGTCATAAGAATAACAATTTGAAGGCATTTAGTTTGGGGATGGGTTTTTACTGTCTTTACTGTGGCAACAGCTAACTATAAGGGCTGTGGAGAAAACATGGGACGACATGAAATTTCAGGGTGGGCAGGCAAATTCTTGCTGGAAAGATGACATTTGATCAGAAATGCAAGAAGTGAGGGAGAAATTCATGAAGATACCCAGTAAGGGGAAAGGTCATCTATGCAGAGGAAACAGTAAATGCAAAACCTGCTTGATGTGTTGAGGAACAGTGAGGAAGATGGTAGCTTTAGAGGAATGAGCAAGTTAGAGCAAGTAAGAGATGACATCAGTGGAGGATGGGGATGGGTGGCGGGATGGCTGTCAGGTCATAAAAGGCCCTGTGGATTATTTTAAAGAGTTAGACTTGATTTTACAGTGAGCTAGGAATCCACTGGAGTATTTTAAGCAGAGGGTGACATAGTCTGTCTTCCATTTTCACACGAACATCCACTGCTGTTTTGAGACCAGACCCAAGAGGGTAAGGGCAAACAGTGAAGTCTCCAGTTAGGAGGCTATTTCAAATAATCCAGGTAAGAGCTACAGTAGTGTGGATTAAAATAGTAGCAGTGAAATTGGTGAGCTATGGTCAGATTCTGGATATACTATGAAGCCAATAGGATTTGCTGATGAATAGGATGTAGGAGAAAGAGAGAAAGGAATCAAAGGTGACTACAAGGATTTTGGCTAAGTAACTGGACTCATGGAATTGCCTTTTATTGAGATCGGAAAGATGGCAAAAGGAAATTGGGAGTTCAAGTTTGGGCATGTTAAGTTTGAGATGTATGTCTGGCATCTATATGAAGATGATGAGTAAGTAGTTGGATATTTGAGTCTGAAGTTCTGGGAACTAGGTGAGCTAGAGATATACATTTGGGGATTATCAGCATATATATGTTCTTAGGAAGGAAGTATAGATAGAAACGATGTTTGATGAACTTTGAGGATCTGATTTTCAAATTTGGAGAAATAATGAAAAAGCAGTAAAGGATACAGAGAAGTGGCAGCCAATGAGGTTAGGGAGGCTTTGATACTTGGAATTCAAATCAGATTGTTTTAAGAAGGCAAGGTCTTCAAGAACTACAATTTGGCCATAAGGTAGGGAATGTGCAGAAAAGTAGTGGGAAATACTGATGGAAAAAGTTGAGGTCAGATTATATAGGACTTTGAAATCCAAGGCAAGAAGTTTGTTCTTAAATCTGTATGTAGTGAGGTACCTCCGATACTTTTTGAGTGATAGAATGATGAAGCTGAAGGTTCAGAAACTTAGTCAGTGATCAGTGTACCAAATAATTGAGTTGGAGAGATTGTTTAGTTGGTTATTTATAGTAATGCAGGGTGAAACAATAATGGCATGGCCTGGGAAACAACAGGTAGAATCTGTATGATTTGGTATCTGTTAATAGGATTGAAGTAGGAGGAAGTAAGGGAGAGAGGAAATCAAGGACAATTCTGAGGAGTGAATCTGGGTAACTGACATCTGTAGAAACAGGAAGCCAGGAGGAGGAGCTGGTTTTGGAGGCAAGGGGGAAATGATTTGAGTTTTGGATGTGCCAAGTTTGAGGTTTATTATATATATAGAGAGAGAGAGAGAGAACACACTTGTGCATGAGCAGTGGGAGGGGCAGAGGGAGAGGGAGGGAGAGAATCCTTGAACAGACTCCCCGCTGAGCACAGAGCCAGAGGCAGAGCTCTATCCGAGGACCCTGAGATCATGACCTGAGCTGGAACTAAGAATTGGCTAACCAACCAACTGAGCCATCCAGGTGCCCCCAAGTTTGAGATTTTGATAAAGCACTTGGGTGTCTCGCAGACAGTTGAAAATTCAGGATCCAAAGAAAGATTCTGGAGCTGGTGACAGTATTATAACTTCTCGGCCAGGATAGCCTAGATAGAGCTACAGTTAATAATAATAGGTGTGGTCCTGCAAGAAATCTAAATATAGAATTTTCAGGCACATAGACTTTTCTTTTTTCATTTAGTTTACTTTATTCTTTTTTTAGTGGTCTCCAAACCTTTTTTTTTTTTTAATTAACATATAATGTATTATTTGTTTCAGGGGTACAATTCTGTGATTCATCAGTCTTACACAATTCACGGTGCTAACCACAACACATACCCTCCCCAATGTCCATCCCCCAGCCACTCCATTCCTTCCACCCCCCTCCACTCCAGCAACTCTTGATTTTTAAGGAGTGGGAAGAAGAGCCAGTGAAAGAAACCTAAGAAACTCGTAGGAGGAGGAAATGAAAAATGAAAACCAAACAGTTCTTTATCTGCAAACCAAGGTGGAGAAAGTGTTTTTTGGTTGTTTTTTGTTTTGTTTTTTCACGAAGAGGGTATTAACCATGTCATGTGACATAGAAAAGAAGAGAATGAAGATGAGAGTAAACCATTGGATTTATTTATCCATTAGCAAGACAATGGTACTTCTTAGAGTTGAATTTCTATAGGATGGTCAGGGAAGAGGAGCTAGATTATTAAAAGGGTTAAAGTCTGAGTTTACTGAGAACATAGAAGCAGGGGATATAATTAGTAATTGAAGAATTTTTGAAGCAAAGGAAAGAGGGGCAATGGTAGTTTAGGGTGTATCTGGGTTGGCAGAAGCATACAAGCACACCTCTGAGATACTGTGGTTTGGTTCCAAACCACTGCAATAAAGTGAATATCGCAGTAAAGGAAGTCAAGTGAATATGTTGGTTTCCCCAATGCATATAAAAGTTATGTTTACAATATACTGTAGGCTATTAAGTGCACAATAGCATTATGCCTAAAGAAACAATATACATACCTTAATTAAAAAAATATTGCTAAAAAAATGCTAACCATCATCTGGGCTTTCAGCAAATTATCATCACTGATAACAACAGACCATCATAACAAATATAATAGTAATGAAAAAGTTTGAAATACTGCAAGAATTACCAAAACATGACACAGAGACACGAAGTGAGCAAATGCTGTTGGAAAATGGCGTCGACTGACTTGCCTGGCACAGAGTTGCCACAAACGTTCAATTTGTAAAAAACACAGTATCTGTGAATATAACGAAGCATAACAAAATGAGATATGCCTATATTTTGGGACCATTGGACTTCTGAGCATATCACTTGGTAGAGAAATTGAAAAAATATAGGGGCAAGTTGGAATAATGAGTAGAGGTATGTCTTGCAGTAAGAGTGGAAACAGAAACACGGGTAGAAAGGGGAGACACTTCTTTCCTGGCAAAGGAGTACAGGAGGAGAAAGGCTGACAATCCAGAGAGGTTGTGTGGTGGAGCAGAGGGCAGTGGAGGTTTTAGAGCATAGTATCAGGCCAACTAGGCGAGGGTGAGGTCCTCTACCAAGAGAGGTCAAGGTTTAGAGCAGCTTTGGAACAGCTGCCGTGAAGGGTGCCCAACATCATGTGCAACTGTTGTGTTTCTTGTTAGTAAGGGGCTGGGGGTCTTCCTCACAAAACTGGGCTTTATGTAATTAGCCATATTGTTTTGAGAACAGACAGTAATTGTTTTGAGAACTAATAATAATTTTGACAGAGAATGGAGTTCTTTGAGGGCTTTTTCAATGCCAGTTGACTCTGCTTGATTACAAATGTCCTTAACCTGGTTCTTTATAAACAGGAGGAGCTCAGCAGATCGTTCATGATTATGATAATGCTTCTAATTAAAAAAGTAATGAACGTGAGAATGGTAGTCCACAGTGCTCTTCACACTTGCAGTTAATAATAGCTGCCATTTGCTGAAGACCTATGAAAGATAGGTACTTTGTTGGGTGCTTGGCATATATTCTCTCTAATTTTAGCAGTAACCCTAAAGGGTAGACTAGTGATATTTAATTAATTAATTAATTAATTAATTTATGAGACAGCAAGAGCACGTGAATGGGGAGGGGCAGAGGGAGGGAGAGAGAGAATCCCAAGAGGGCTCCACACTGGGTGTGGAGCCTGACACAGCACTTGGTCTCACAACTCCCAGATCATGACCCGAGCCGAAATCAAGAGCCAGATGCTAAACAGACTGAGCCACCCAGGTGCCCCTAGACTAGTGATCTTTAAAGTAGGATGCATACACCAGAGATATGAGGAGAAAATATTAGATCTTCTAATGCCTTTTTATTTTTAAGAGTTTTTTCTGTGTATAATGTAATAATATGTTGATGGGCAAATAAAATACATAATTTATAAACAAAAATGCATATATTGTGGGTGCATGCTCAAGTGATTTTTTTCTGACATCCATGAAGATTGAAAGTGAAGGGATGGAAACAAATCATACAAGTGGAAGCAAAAAGAAACTGGGGTAGCAATACTTATATTGGAGAAAATAGACTTTAAAACAAAGACTGTAACAAGAGACAAGAACACTACATAATGATAAAGGGGACAATCCAAGAAGAGGATATAACAATTGTAAATATCTATGCACCCAAGATAGGAGTACCTTAATACATAAGGCAACTGCTAACAGACATAAAGGAAAAAATTGACAGTAATACAATTATAGTAGGGGACTTTAACATAACACTTACATCAATGGAAAGATCATCCAGACAGAAAATCAACAAGGAAACAGTGCTTTGAATGATATGTTAGACCAGATGGACCTAACAGATAGATAGATATATACAGAACATTTCATCCAAAAACAGCAGGATACACATTCTTTTTAGGTGCACATGGAACTTTCTCCAGTATAGAACATGTATTAGGCCACAAAACAAGTCTTAATAAATTCAAAAAGACTATCATGTGATGCATCTTTTCTGACTACACTGGTTACGAAACTAGAAATCAACCACAAGAAAAAATCTGGAAAGAACACAAATAAGTGGAGGCTAAATAACATGTTATTAAATAATGAATGGTTGAACCAAGACATCAAAGAGTAAATTAAAAAAAAATACACGGAGACAAATGAAAATGAAAAACAAAATCTTTGGGATGCAGTGAGAGCTATTCTAAAGAGGGAAGTTTATAGCAATACAGGCTTACCTCAAGAAACAAGAAAAATCTCAAACAACATAACCTTACTCCTAAAGGAGCTAGAAAGAGAAGAACAAAAAAAGCCCAAATTCAGTAGAAGGAAGGAAATAAGATTAGAGCAGAAAAAATGAAATAGAGACCAAAAAAACCCCAAAAAACAAAAAACAACAACCCCACAAAAAACCCCAGAAAAGATCAATGTAACCAGGAACTGGTTCTTCAAAAAGATAAAAAAGTTTATAAATCTTTAGCCAGACCCATAAAGGAAAAAAAAAAAAAAAAGAGGACTCAAAATCAGAAATGAAGGAAGACAAATAACAACTGACCACAGAAATACACATGATTTTAAGAGAATATTATGAAAAATTATATATACCAACAAACTGGACAACCTAGAAGAAATGGATAAATTCCTAAAAATATATAACTTAAAACTGAAATCAGGAAGAAATAGAAAATTTGAACAGACCAATTACTAACAATGAAATTGAATCAGTAATCAAAAAACTCCTAACAAACAAAATTTTAGGACTAGATGACTTCATAGGTGAATTCTACCAAACATTTAAAAAAGAGTTAATACCTATTCTTTTCAAACTATTCCAAATAATAGATTTGGAAGGAAAGCTTCCAAATTCACTCTATGAGGCCAGCATTATCCTGACACCAAAACCAGACAAAGACACAACAAAAGAAAACTGCAGGTCAATATCTCAGATGAACATAGAGGCAAAAATCCTCCACAAAATATTAGCAAACCAAATCAACAATATATTTAAAAAAATCATTTATGGTCGAGTGGGATTTACTCCAGGGATGCAAGGGTGGTTCAATATTTGCAAGTTAATCAGTATCATACATCACATTAATAAGAGAAAAGATATAGGGGCACCTGGGTGGCTCAGTCGGTTAAGCAGCTGCCTTTGGCTCAGGTCATGATCCCAGGGTCCTGGGATCGAGCCCTGCATCGGGCTCCCTGCTCGGTGGGAGCCTGCTTCTCCCTCTCCCTCTGCCTGCCTCTCTGCCTACTTGTTCTCTCTCTCTATCTCTCTGTCAAATAAATAAATAAAATCTTAAAAAAAAAAAGAGAGAAAAGATATAAGCCATATATTCATATATTCATCTCAACAGATGAAGAAAAAGCATTTGGCAAAGTACAACATCCATTCATAATAAAAACTCTCGGGACGCCTGGGTGGCTCAGTTGGTTAAGCGACTGCCTTCGGCTCAGGTCATGATCCTGGAGTCCCGGGATCGAGTCCCGCATCGGGCTCTCTGCTCAGCAGGGAGTCTGCTTCTCCCTCTGACCCTCCCCCCTCTCATGCTCTATCTCATTCTCTCTCTCAAATAAATAAATAAAAAGAAAAAAAAATCTTTAAAAAAAAAAACCTCTCAACAAAGTAGATTTAGAAGGAACATATCTCAACATAATAAAAGCCATATATGACAAACCCACAGCTAACATACTCAATGGTGAAAAACTGAGAGCTTTTCCTCTAAGATCAGTAATAAGACAAGAGATGTTCACTATCACCACTAGTCACAGCAATGAGACGAGAAAAGAAAAGGCATTCGAATTGGTAAGGAAGAAGTAAAACTTTCACTATTTGCAGATGACATGATGCTATATAAAGACAACCCTAAAGACTCCAGCAAAAAACTCCTAAAACTGATAATTGAATTCAATGAAGTGATAGAATACAAAATTAATATACAGAAATCTGTTACAATTCTATACACTAATAATGAAGTAGCAGATAGAGAAATTAAGAAAACAATCTCATTTACAGTTATGCCAAAAATAATAAAATACCTAGGAATAAATTTAACCAAGGAGGTGAAAGACTTGTACTCTGAAAACTATTAAACACTGATGAAAGAAATTGAAGATGACACAAACAAATGGAAAGATATTCCATGCTCAGGGATTGGAAGAACAGATATTGTTAAAATATCCATACTACCCAAAGCAATCTACAGATTTAATGCAATCCCTATCAAAATACCAATAGCATTTTTCCCCCCATAGAACTAGAACTAATAATCCTAAAATTTGTATGGAACCACAAAAGACTCCAAATAGCCAAAACAGTCTTGAAAAAGAAGAACAAAACTGGAAGCTTCTCAATCCCAGATATCAAGATATACTACAAAGCTGTAGTAATCAAAGCAGTATAGTATGGTACTGGCACAAAAATGGACACACAAATCAACAGAGCAGAACAGAGAGCCCAGAAATAAACCCATGCTTATATGGTCAATTAATCTTCAAAAAGGAGGCAAGAATATGCAATGGGAAAGACAGTCTTTCCCAACAAATGGTGTTGGGAAAATATGTAAAAGAATGAGCTGGCCCACTTTCTTACACTGTACACAAAAATAAACTCAAAATGGATTAAAGACCTAAAAATGAGAGCTGAAACCATAAAAGTCCTGGATGAGAGCACCGGCAGTAATTACTCAGACACTGGCTGTAGCTACATTCTTCTAGATATGTCTCCTGAGGCAAGGGAAACAAAAGCAAAAATAAACTACTTGGACTACATCAATATAAGAAGCTTCTGCACAGCACAGGACACAACAAAACTAAAGAACAACCTACAGAATGGGAGGAGATATTTGCAAATGATATACCCGATAAAGGGTTAATATCCCAAATATGTAAAGAACTTACACAACTCAACACCAAAACAACAGCAAAACCCCCAAGTAATCCAATTTTTAATTTTTAAATTAATTTTTAATTACTTAAATTTTTAATCCATTTTTAAATGGACAGAAGACATGAACAGACATTTCTCCAAAGAAGACATACATATGAAAAGATTTCCAACATCACTAGTCATCAGAGAAGTGCAAATCAAAACTACAATGAGATATCACCTCACACCTGTCAGAATCGCTAAAATAAAAAACACAAGAAACAAGTGTTGGTGGAAAAAAAGGAACCCTTGTGCACTGTTGGTGGGAAATGCAAACTGGTGCAACCACTATGGAAAACAGTTATATTTTTTTTCTCAAAAAATTAAAAATAGAATTACCATATGATCCAGTGATTCCAGTACTGGGTATTTACCCAAAGAAAATGAAAACAATTAATTTGAAGAGATATATGCACCTCTGCTGTTTATTGCAACACTATTTACAATAGCCAAGATATGGAAAGAACACAAGTGTCTACTGATAGATGAATGGATAAAGAAGATATATATATATAATGGAATATTACTGAGTCATAGAAAAAAATGAGATCTTGCCATTTATGACAACCTGGATGGACCTATGGGACGTAATGCTAAGTGAAATAAGTCAGACAGAGAAAGACAAATACCACATGACTTCACGCATATGTGGAATTTAAGAAACAAAACAAAAGAGATTAAAAAACAGACCATTAAATACAGAGAACAAACTGGGGGTTGCTGGAGGGGAGGTGGGTGGGGGGATAGGTGAATAGATAAAGGGGATCAAGAGCACACTTACTGAGATGAACACTGAGTACAGAATTGTTGAATCATCGTATTGTACACATGAAACTAATATAACACTGTGTGTTAATTGTACTTCAGTAAAAAATACACATTGGGGATGCATGCTGAAATGATTTTTCTGACAGATGCATAAAGTTCAGACCACTAAGATGATGATGATAAAAACAATCATAGCAGACAGTATAGAGTTGTCCCTGTATGTTAGCTGCTTTACACTGGTCATCTCATTCATGGCTCACAACACTCTTCAACGTAATTGCTACCATTACCTCCATTTTACCAATGAAGAAGCTGAAGCTGTATGACATAAGAAATTTTCCCAAGCTCACACAACTAGTAAATGATGAAGTTTAAACTCAGGTAGTCTGACCCCGTAACTCATGTTTTTAACCACTGTCTTATGTGGTACCCTTCATAATTAAGTTTGCCCCCTATCACCTGGTGGGTACTGGGAGTCTCTCTTTAAAAAGGGAAAGGAAGGGAAAGAAAAAAGGAAGAAAGGAAGGATGAAAGGAAGGGAGGGAGCAGGAAAGATGGGAGGGAGAGAAGAAGGGAAGGGAGGGAGGGACCCAGTCTTCTCAGGTGATAAATTTGCCTCACTTAGTTCTCAAAACACTATGAGTTAGGTACTTATAAACTCTGTTTTGGAAGAGACAAGTGAGGACAGAACCAGGACATAAATGCAGGTCCTCTGAATCTGATTTCTATATTCTTTAACCTCATTGTGCTTCTCTGCAGATCAGGTGACTAATTCAACCAAAAGTTACTGTTTAGGACATCTTGCCACGTGCTTGACGTACATTTCGTTAACTGTTATGTATGTATGTTTATATAAATTTTTTGGTACATAAAATTTTATTAAATCAGTAGGTCAATTAAAAAAAAAGCAACAGTCGGGGTGCCTGGGTGGCTCAGTTGGTTAAGCGACTGCCTTCGGCTCAGGTCATGATCCTGGAGTCCCTGGATCGAGTCCCGCATCGGGCTCCCTGCTCGGCGGGGAGTCTGCTTCTCCCTCTGACCCTCCCCCCTCTCATGTGCTCTCTCTCATTCTCTCTCTAATAAATAAATAAAATCTTTAAAAAAAAAAAAAAAAGCAACAGTCATCCAAAGGTAATACTTACATTATCGGGACCTATTAAACAGCCAACACTTTTTAAGGGGCAGAATGTATCAAATTGTCCATAAAAATGTCCAGTGCAGGGATTCCATATTAAATAGTGACTTTGCTCCTGAGTTAGCACATAGGCAGTTGGACCCTGAAGGAAGATAGTCATTAAAACAGTTTCTAATCAATTATGCAATTGAGGTCAAGATTAGTTTGCACACAGAATTAATTACTTTGGTTGGACTCCATTTCTAAAATTCATGGCTAATGATGAAAATTAGTTTGAAGTTCTAGGCTGCATTGGATTTAAGAAATAAAATCAAATGTTCATTTTTGCAAAATGCTTGCATCTGCTAGTACAGTAGACCAAATAGGGATAGTTAAGTATTTAGAAGGCTGATTATGTCTGAATACAACTTCTGTTTTTAATACAGTAACTAGTGTTTGAGATACATTTATAATTATGTAAATGCATAGAAGATGTTTTGAAAAGATACGTACCAACCTGTTAGCAGTGAATACACCTGGGGTAGGGAGTGGGTTTGGGGGTTAGAGACTGACAAAGTACTTTAACTTTTTTACTCAGAGTACTTGTCTATTACTGTATTATTATTATTATTAATTATTATTTTTTTTTACAGTGAGCATTTATTCATTTACTGCTCGTGTGTGGACTTCCTTTGATGTTCACAATAGCCTTCTGGGGAAGGCAGGGCAAGATTTATTATCCTGGCTTCCTGATAAAGCTCAAGAGTTGTGAATTGACTTGCTTAGAGCCACACAGCTCATGAGGAAAAGGCAGAGCTTTGAACCCAGGCTTCATGACTTCCTAGCCTAGTGTTCTTTTCCGTGTACCAGCCTCCCTGAAAGATAACGATGGGGAATGAATTAGTTTTTGGATGTGATAATACCTGCCCAGTGGCAACTCATGCTACCTAATTCCCAAGGATTCCTGGAAACTTGTGGCCTCCTTTGGATACACTCTTTGGATAAGCTGCTTCAGTTCATGTGAATTTTCTAAACTCGTACCCCAAATTACCCTAATATTCCCAAAATTTAGGGACATTTGCAGTGGGCTGGGGGAAACATTCTAATAGTTGGTATCTCCAGTCCAATAAAAGTAACAATAATATCAAAATATAGCTCCTAACATTCTTTTCTTTGCTCCTGTGGTTGTCTGCTGGGTTCCCCTTTGCCTGCTGGTTAGTCGCAGATGCCTGAGGAAGCAGTGGGCATGACAGAAGAGGTCTCTAACCTCGCCACACTTCTTCAGATCCCCTTCACTCCTTAGCATGAGTAGCACTGGATCACTAAGGGAATCAAAATTCTGAGTACCATGGGCAGCTGGGGGCTCAAACTAAAAGGACAGAGTCAGGTGGGGCCTTTGAGTGATAAAGGTTCAGATTTGCCAAAAAAAAACCCCAATCAGAAGCACTGATCAGAGCCCTAGTGCCACTAAAAACCATTTCATGTCTTATCACTGGTTCTCTCTCCCCACGGTGCAATCTCTGGGCCACTTTCCTTTCAACTCAAAGGATCGTTATGCAAATTAGTACTGTTCATAATCTGGAACCTAACGCAAGTGTCTTAAGACAACTACACTCCTCTGTTGGAGCTAGCCTGCGTGGTCTTACCTCAGGAATAGCACTGCCCATCATGAGCCAGGCCTTCTTCCCCAGAGAGAGAAAATAATTACATAGTAATACTGCATGCTCTTCTTCGTCTCCTGCCAGGAGATCCAGAAATTGCTGATGGAGATGGAAAGAAAAGAAAAACGATGTTGTTGACTGACTGCTTCATTCTGGATGGGCCATACAGGATTTTTAAAAAGTCACTGTTAAAACTAGTGCCTTAAAGTAGAAGACCTATTTTAAAAATCGTTTTTTCCATATTTTGGTACTATGTTCTAATTCGTTAAAACAAACAAACCAATATGGTATTTTCTCTGACATAGATGACGTGGATTTCTAGAATCAACACTATGGTGGGGGAGACAAATTTTAAAGTTTTACTTCTTGTTTTGAATTTATATATGATAGCTCACTATGTGTTGAATACTTTTTTAAAGACTATTTTTACATCAGTTTTAGGTTCACAGCATAATTGGAGTAAGAGATTTCCCATCTACCCTTGCCCCCACATGTTATCAACATCTACCCACAGAGTAGGATGATTGTTAGAACTGATAGACCTACATTGAACATCATAATCACCCAAAGTCCACAGCTTATGGGAGGGCTCACGCTTGGTGTTGTACATTCTTTGGGTTTTGACAAATGTGTAATGACATGTACCCTTCATTAGAATCTCACAGAATACTTTCATGGCCCTAAAAATCATTTGTACTCTGCCTGTTCATATCTCCCCGTGCCCTGCCCCCAAATTGTTTTAAGTACATTGCATGCATTAACTCATTTAATCCTAGAATAAACTTTTGAGGGAGGTACTTCTCTTCCCATTTTATAGATGAGGATGTGGAAACACAGAGAAGGAATACCTAGGGAGTGGGAAAGCCAATCTGGCTCGAGAGCCCATGAATTATTCTGTTCTTTGCATATTTTCTTTAGATGTCTTGAGGTTGTGGAAATGTTACCTCTAATACTGTCAACATTATGTTGCCAAAATATCCTGGGGAACAAAAAATTTAGTGTACTTAAATTTCTTTGGTTTAGAGCTATCTTTCAAAGGATATTAAACAATATCCTACAATTATCCAAACATAGTACACATGAGATCCAGAAGCAGAATAAATACCTGTGATGATATATGTGTTTGTCTCATAGAAGATCCATTTGGTTGTAACATACACAGATTGTAAATTCCATGAGGGCAGAGGCCATGTTTATTTCGCTCATAGCCTGAATTTAGTACAATGTCTGATATGTGGTAGGTGACCAGGAAGTACATACGGAATCAGTAATGACATGGCATGCCTTAGGAAGCCCATAAATTATGGAATATATGAGTTCCATGTGTAATATAGAGCGTAATTTTGATTTTTTTTTTTAATGAATGAAACTGGGATATTGTTAAGATAATACTGGGAGGATAAATCAGTAATAAGACTTCTGAAATGTTTTTTATTCTTTGTGCAAATATTTTTTTCTTAATTTCTGAACTTGGTCAAATGGAACCAGAAAGAAAAAATACTTCAGAATTTAGCTCCGTCTGCTAAACAGATGACCAAGTGGATTTTTATAAGGACCAATGAACACTGCAATTTAAAATTATACAAGCCTTTGGCCCGTGTTCAATGAAGTCAGCACAAACTAGTAAATCCATGAGGAAGAGCTACTCACATCAGATGTGCTCCACATGTCACAGATGCCAGCAAATGAAACTGTGTCAGGCAAGAAAGGAATCAATGATACATATCGAGCCACCAGTTCCTGTTTGAACAAAAAATAATCGAGCAGTTCCTGTTTAAAAAAATAATGTGTGGTAAAATAGAAAGCTGGATACTCTACCTCATTCCTTGCAAGAAAGTTTCATGTATCACAAACATTTATGTGTACAAAATGAAGTGAATGCTCACCAAGTGTTTACTGAGTGTTGTGTTAACATTATGTCATTTCAGTCTCCGCACACATCCTACAAAGGAAGTCACTGTTAATATCCAGCTTTCACACACGAAGACACTGGCTGCTAGGTCGCTTTGAAATGTCCTCTTTTTTTTTTCCTGCACTTCCTTACTTTCTGGTATAAGAAGACTTTCACAGTCATCTTGTATTTCTTCTAGCTCAGTCCAGAAAGGAGCCATTTCTCCAAGGAGCTTTTTAGAGAGTAATAGTACTTAGAAACCAAGATCAGGGCATCATTGTAGTTACGACTCATGTTCCTGCAGTTTGTAAACATCTTATTTGTGGCTTTTCATTTCCTTTGTGGTATCTTTGATAAACCCAAGTTCTCAATGTTAATATGGTCAAATGGATCTTTTTTTTTCTTACAGCTTGTGTTATTTTCCATCTTGTTTATGAAATACTTTCTGTCTCACGTCATAAAGATGACTTGTAATAAGTCTTAAAGATAAAGTTAAAAAGTCATAAAGATAAAAATGCCTTCATATTTAAGTCCTCAATCTGTCTGCACTTGGATGTGAAGTAGGAATCTATTTTTATTTTTTCCATATGTAAAAATCAGTGATTCCAGTAAAATTTATGTAATAGTCAATCTTTTCCTTACTAATTTCCAATGCTAGTTTTGTCATCTGTCAGGTTTGAGTGGGTTATATTTGAGTGGACTTTTTATTCTTTTCCATTTTTCTCTCTGTTATCTGTGTGTCAATACCATTTTACTTTAATTACTATGGTCTCATAATAGTCTGGATGTGTGGTATGGCAAATCTTCCCACTGAGTTCTTCTTATTCCTCAGGATGTCTTGGCTATTTTGGCCCTTTGCACCGTCATATAAATATTAGAATCAGCTTATAAAGGCCCACCATAAACGGTTTAAAAATCTAGTTTGACAGTCTTTGTTTTTTAACTGGAAAGTTTAACCCCTTTGCTTTGATTGCGATTACTAGTAAACATTTAGACTATTTCTACTACCTTATTCTGTGCTTTTTATTTTTCACACTTTTTTCTATGTTTCTTTTTTTTCTCACCACTCTCTTCTTCATCCCATTTCATTATTTTATCTCCCGCCACTTTGGAAGCTATATGCACTTTCTTTTATTCTTTTAAGTGATTAATTTAGAAATTTCAACATGGGGGCACCTGGGTGGCTCAGTCGGTTGAGCCCCTAACTCTTGATTTCAGCTTGTGTCATGATCTAAGGGTCATGGGATCGAGCCCCCTGTTGGGCTCCGCACTCAGCACAGAGTCTGCTTGTCCCTTTCTTTCTCACTCTGCCCTCACCTACTTGTGCCCTCTCTAAAATAAGTAAATAAAATCTTTAAAAAAGAAATTTCAACATGAATATTTAACTTAAACTCTATAAGTTAATAAATATCTTCACTTTCCTCTTGGAAAATACAAGGGAATTAAAATACTCTCATCAGTCCTGTCCTGACATGCATTTTTTCCAGGATTTTTGTTTTTAATTACTATTTTCCATCCTCATTGCTAGTATTATTGACATGAAGACAATGCCTGTTTAGATTTACTCACAAATTTCCCATTTTCTTTACCATTATGCGTGGTTGTCTAGGATTTTCTGAGAGTTTTCCTTCTCTGAAGTATATTTTTTAGAAATTTCTTAAGTGAGAATCTTTTGGTTGTAAATTCTCCAATGTTTGTGTGAAAGATGGTTTCACTGGATATAAACGACTAGTTTGATGGCTATTTTAATACCTTCAGCCTTTTGAAGATATTATGCCTTCTCTGACTTTCATTTGTGCAGCTGAAAAGTCCATTGGTTGACTCATTGTTCTTTTATAGAAAATCTGTTTTCTCTCCAGCTGCTTTTAAGATCATCTTTGTAGTTCCCTATCATGTGCCTAGATTTTAATTCTATTTTATCTTATGTAGGATATACTGGGCTTTCTGCATCAGAGAATTGTTGTCTTTCATCAAGTCTTATAAATTCTCAGCTCTCTTTGAATGTTGCCTTTCTCCTTTCATACAGGGTTTGGCTGTCCTGCCTCTATCATCATTGTCTCTGAACCTTTCCTTTAAATCTTCTATTTTTTGCTGTCTCTGTGCTGTATTCCAAGTAATTTCTTTGCATGCATATTCCAGTTCATGAAGTCTCTCTGTACTTACCTGTATGTAACTTAACTCTGAATTTAACTGTATTTTATGTTTTGCTTAAGCCAGTTGTTCATTGTCTCATTTTAACTATTCTATTTTATATTTCTGTAAGTACCATGCATTTATTTTTAACAACCTGCCTGTCAGTTCTGATAGTCTACTGTTCTTCTGTTACATTTTCAATTCCCTGGATTTCTTAAACTTAGCAAACATATCTATTTTATATTCTGAATCTGATAATTCTAGTATCTGCAGTCTTTGTGGACTACTCTGCAGTGTGTTGTATGTGCTAACTCTTGCCTTCCTCATGGTGACTTATTCTTTATTGGTGATTTTTTTTAAGATTTTATTTATTTGAGAGAGAGAGCACAAGCAGGGGAAAGCATAAGCAGGGGAGAGGGAGAAGCAGACTTCCCATGGAGCAAGGAGCCCGATGTAGGGCTGGATTCCAGGACCCTGGGATCATGACCTGAGCTGAAGGCAGCCACTTAACCGACTGAGTCACCCAGGCACCTTATTGATGATCTTTTATGTTTGTGTTGCTTGGAACTTTGGAACTTTTTCTGTTTGTTTGTTTGTTTTTAAGGTTGAGTTTAAAGGGCATTCTTCTAGAAAGATTTCTTTTTCCTTCTGTCAGGGATTTAGGGGCATTAGAACAGGGAACACTTTCAATTAAATTTTCAGCTGAAGTTTTTTTTGGGTCATCCGGGCAGTGTAAATTCCAGTCTCAAGTGTGAATAAATACAACTTAGTGATTAGGAATTCCCCGGAGAAACTTCTCATTTCTCTTCCATCCACAGTCAAGGCTGAGACAGGCAAGATTCTTTCTGCAAAGCTGGGTATTTCCTGGTGTACCCACTGTTGACATTACCTGTCGAGAGTCCTAACTCTGTACCTGAGTCTCTAATTCAGCCCCCCTCCCTGCCCTGGCACCACACATTACCTCCTTCCCCACACAGCCTTGTGGGCATGCCTTGTGTAGATGCCCAGCTCTAGGCATCAGGAATTATTGGACGACCTCAGAGCAGACACTATTTCAGACTCTCACCCTTGTGGAACCTGCTTCATTGTTCCCTGTCTCTGAGTTCCCCCCCTGCCGCCTTAGTTCTATGTCCGCCGTGATTTTAAAAATGGTTTAAATATTTTATTCATCACTCCGAAGTGTTCTCTCCTGGGAGAAGTTTTCTGCATATTTACTATGCTAAGAAGAATAGAGGGAAGTCCCTATTGTGATTTTTAATAAAAATTGATTAATAAAAAAAGTATCTGAAATGTGGAACACAAGTTTTACTTTTTTGCTGTATCTATATCTGCAAATAGATATACCATCACCCTGTTCCTAAATTATTATGTTAATGACTTATTAGCAGCAACTACTCCCTAGACTACCCACTCTCTAAAGATAGTTATGGGTTACAGTATTCACTTAAAAATAGCCTGTTTAAAATACGGCTTCTGTTCATGTGTGGTTGTGATGGGGAGGGTGCTCTGCAGCCAGAGAATGCGCACGTATATTTAATGGCTCAGTATGGATGCGTTCTGTGGTGACGGCTCACACGCTGTACATCCTCAAATCTTGGAAATAATTTTCGCCTCATTGGAAGTCAGTGATGCCTATAGTATTAAGTATAATACTGAATAGTTACCTTGCTATGGTAGAAAGTGCATGAGTTCTGAAATCAGAGGCCTCGGTTTGAATCCCAGAAAGTGATGGAGGACGCATAATGAAGGCATGTTTATGTAAGACATTGCCAAAGTGTAAAGCATCTTCCAAATGTTAATTTCCAGAACCAGTCTAGAGCCAGGGACATGGTAAGCACCCCACGGTCGTTCACTGAAAGAATGAACTAAGGATTACTACCCTCTCTGGTACCTTCAGACTTTTCTAAAGAAAGTGAGCCTCAGAGTAATAAAAAAGTGCTAATCATTTCTTTCACCACTAACGATCTCAATATAGTGACTATCTTAAGTCCTAGGAAATATGGTAATTAAGAGGGCGGTATATTAAAACTGTAACACATTTTTAGGAGCAGCCGTGACAGGCTTGTGAAACACACTCACCGCCATTGCCTGGGGGCTGTTGGGGAAGGCATCCAGGAGCTCCCGTGGAGGGTTTAAAGGCTTGAGGTAACGGGTGACAAAGACGGTTTTCCCACTGATGTCAGTCACCGTTGTGAGGCACTGGCGGTGTGGAAACTTTAAGGCACATTCGGTTTGAAACTTCTCTGTTGCTTGAAGCAATTTCTCATCTTCCTGAGAATCAAACTTCAAAAACAAAGACTCCATGGAGTTTACATCTGATTACAGGAGACACAGAACGCGTTGCGATCCCACAGTCGACATGAACTAAACATGCGCTTCAGGAACTATGATTAAGTGACCCCTTACACTATTGCCTTGCCCTGGAGTCCCAGGGCTTTATTTAATTATATTTATAATCTAAAGATTAGATGGATTCATTAAATACTTAAAATGTATTGAACAGGATTGAAAGAAAGCAGTCAACAGGCAAGCAGCCCTATGGAAAACTATAACCACCTATATAGAAAGTAAAGTATAATGTACTAATTCTGATTGATGAGACCAAGCAGTAGTTTTATGTGTATTTTGACATTGGTTTTAGAGGGGGGAGGGGCCCAGAAATCTAACATCTCAAAGGCAAAGCTTGAGCAACTCATGTTAAATGCATAACAACAAATTGACAGATACATGTTGATATGTTAAGTTTTAAATCCATGATCAATGTAATACATAATAGTAATGGGTCTCAAGCAAAAAGGAAACAGAACTAGAAAGATCAAATGTATTATATTTATTTTAAGCAGTTCTCTGATCCAAGATGAGCTACCAATTCCCAAGCTTCTGATAGTAACTCAAAGCAGATGAAACAGAACAATTTTCATTTGCCTTTAGACACATGTAGTAATTTTTTTCCCTGAAGCTATTGCTAAAAAAAAAGTTTGAAAAAAGCAGATATTTAAATGTTTTTACAAGAATTTTATTGCTTAGTATAAAAATATACATATGGTTGCTTACATTTCAAAGGGTTTCAAGATAAACTCAAATAAAATTTTATTAGAAAAATTAACTGTTAAGTAGAATTTAGATTCTAGGCAGTGCCTGAAAATGTGTTTGTTTTGAGAAGGGAAGTGCACCCAAATATCCTTCTCATACTCTGCTTTATTTATTTATTTTTTTAGCATTTAAAATCACTGATAAGTTTACTCTGTCTCCCCCTATAGAGTAAGATTCCTAGAATCGGGGATTTTGTTTTGCTCTTGTTTTTTTATCTCCAGTACCAATACCACCTGGCACGTAGTACACATAGTAAGTGTTTAACAAATATTGTTGAGTGAATGAACAGGTGCACAGAAAACATCCCCTTACTTTTTTATGACTTCAGATAGAATCTAGACTATCCCAGCTGTTCTTGATTTCTGTTTCATTGGAGCTGGACTGTGGCTCCTGTTTCTAATTCGATTGCTGTACCCTGAGGGATTGGGGTAGTGGTTGTGGAGATTAAGTAGGATGGAGGCACTTCCGGAAGCCTCCCACATACTCCCATGGGATGTCCCTGACATCTGAAACTGAACATCATCGTCATCTGCATCATCACTGTAACCACCTACCACTCAGCATACCGCCGCCCCACGGTAGCTGCCCGACAGATGTTAGGACGGAGATATAAATAAATGGAAATGGTGAGCTCTGAAGACTTGTTTGGTATAGGTGTGTCACAGACTCCTGGGATAGAACTGTCACCCCAGAAATAATTGTAACTTTAGAAAGACGGAGAATCATGCAACAAGAGTGCTATGAAACAAAGCACCCAGTGAATTCATCCCTATGTTCTTTACACTCATTTATTTACTTACTCATCCAGTTATTTGCTGAGAGTCTGAAAGGTACCAGGTGCTGTGGATAAATGAGTATGAAACAGTGCCCTAAGCAACTTCTAGCCTAGAGGAAAACACTAACAAGCAGTCAGGCACTTGAACTACTTGACCAGAGATTCTATGGAGATAAACACAGGGTGCCAGGGGAGCACTTAAGAGGCAGCAATAGGCTTTGCCCAGAAAGAGCAACAAAAACCTTGAATCAGTCCTGACTATTGGCCTTCTAGGTTGAAGAAACTATGTCTAAAATGTTTTCTACCACTTGGACCTGGATGTGCAGTTGTGTATCTTGACTACGTACCTAGTGCTTCGTGAGAGCAGGGCCCATGCTTGAATCATCTTGTGTTCCTCTCTGCCCCGAGCATACACAAGGTAAGCATTTAAATAAGTATCTACTAATGGTCACTGATACTTGCTTAGGTCACCAGGATGCCATTCCATGGAGCGAAACAGTGATTTGCGGAGGAGTATGCCATCTTGGTAATCTAAGAAGTGCCAAGGGAAAGCTAAATACTAGAAGAATTTGGGTTGTTTATTACAAAACAAATTAAGGGCTAACTGACAAATTCGCAGTTTGATTCAACACAAAATGTGGAAGATTCTTAACTGGTTCAATTTTTTTTTTTTTTTTTTACCTCTAGGTTAGTGTCAGTATTTACAGAAAATCAAATGGGTTCAAAACCTCTCTTTGGACACACTGTGACAGCTCTCCTAATCAGAAATCATTGTCACAGCCGCGCGGTCTCTGTAAGAAGCAGCTCATGGATTTTATAGGCTTGGAAACGTGGAGATGGTGCCCAGCATGCAGGCTACATTCACACCTATGACTTCCTACATTCACAGCTAACTAAGAATCTCTCTGGCAAAATGAAATGGGCTGAAAGACAGAGCTGGACATTCTTCATGGAACTTCCAACATCTGCTGTAGCTCATCGCCAAGGGATCGCACATACACCAGGACCCATCAGCTTCCATGAAGTGGCAGGGGATGGAAAGCAGCTAAGTAAAAGCCTAATAACTACCAACAGATGTAAGACAAAATACCTGGTATACCTTTTTAAGCATGTCACTCATCTATCAGAGGCAAGAAAGAAAAAAAGAAATGAGAGGAAGACTTTATTAACAGAAATAATCTATTTTTAAAAACTTAACTTTTCTCAAGACAACGTAAAGCAGTTATAGGAAGAGTGTCAGGAGTCGCTACTGATTCTTGCGAAAATTCCATGAGTAAATCCCTTAAAAAGTCAGGGAATGGTTCCCCATGGGATAATGATGGAAGGAAGACTCTGATTTGCTAATTCTGGAAGTTGCTGATAAGCAGAAAACCAATTCCAGGTTGTGGGCTCTATGCTCTTAGGGTGAGAGCTTGTCTCTCCCGAATCATCTGCAGGGGACTCACCCAGCAGTGTTTTCTGCCACTGTGTTTAGGACATCAGGGTGTTTTTGATCCACATGCTTCCTCATCAAATAGCAGCAAAGAACCTGCCCTCCAAAGGGGTTTCTTAAGCCTCCTTTCAAGAGGCCTGAGGGAGATGCTCCACACACAGCGGAGCAGCAAGGGACAGCCCTGTCACCTGGCTGTAGGCAGGGCAGGCTGCGGACCTGGGGCTGGGCTTCAGGGCCCGAGGGGTGGGGGGCAGTGCCAGGTGCTAAGGCGGCTCTGGGCTCTGGGTTCAACTCTTTGGCCGCGGTCGCAGACTGCTTTCACATGCTTTGGAAGCTCACCTCCAGATGGAGTGCTTTTCCTTCGTGAAGAAGACATAGAAATAGCAAAACCATCTTTTGTCTGGGAGCATTCTTCTGTATCAACATGCTTGTTGGCTTTCTCTTGAGTTTATACATGAAGGAAGAACATTCAGCATACATGTTTCACTTCCTAGAAATATTCTGAAGCTAATGTATTCTGCCATGTTTTCTAGAGAACAGATTTGTCACAGCGTTTGTGACAAAGGCCAGCATGTGAGATTAATTTGAATTTCAGTAGATTTATTTTTTCCAATAATCCTTGCAAAGGGGAATAGGGATAGTATTTTTCTCTGTGAACCAAACTGTAATACTGAAACAGAAACAGAGGAATGTGCTCATTTTTTTTTCCATCTCCATCTGAGTCTTAATTACAAAGCTAAGATGGATAAACTAAAGAGTCAGCAGGAGAATCCGCGTCTAGCGTAGTAGGTGACAAGCTGGGTTTACACATGAACGTAAGCTCCGTGGGATTTTTCTCTGCTTTTCTAGGCTGCTGTATCCCCAGTGCCTGAGAAATGCCTGTCACACAGAAGATGCTCAGTAAATATTTATTGAATATATAAGGTTTCGAGTCAGACAGACTTGTTAGCTCTGCATTTACTGTCTGGGTGAACTGGAAGGTTGAGCCTTGGTTTCCTCCTGTCTCAGTTGCAGACCCACCGTACAATACCACTGTGAGTATTAAGAGAGAACAGGTGTGGGTGCCTGGGTGGCTCAGTTGGTTAAGCGACTGCCGTCGGCTCAGGTCATGATCCTGGAGTCCCTGGATCAAGTCCTGCATCGGGCTCCCTGCTCTGCGGGGAGTCTGCTTCTCCCTCTGACCCTCCCCCCTCTCATGTGCTCTCTCTCTCTCTCATTCTGTCTCAAATAAATAAATAAAATCTTTAAAAAAAAAAAAAAGAGAGAGAGAGAACAGGTGTGCTGAGGACCGAGTAAGAACTCAGTACGTGGTGGCGGGTGTGATGGCATTAGTTTATGGTGTGAAGAGGTCATGATCAGTACTTTCCCCCCAGACCAGTGAGGGTGGTGCCCGTTAAGGCTGCATGAGCATGTTACATTAAGGAGGTGTCTCCTGGCTATAAGGGTTGGGAAACAGTTGCTAACAAAACTACGTTCTGGAAACTCTTTGTTGTAGAGCTGTTCAGAGTTAGAGCACTTGTGCAGATATTTGTTTCTGTCTGAAGGCACTGAAATGAGGTGACCCCTGGAGGTCTAGCCTTACGATCCTATAAATCGATTCAATGCGCAGCCCAACCAGGGACGTGAGGTCACAGGTGGAGGTGTATTTCAGCATGCTTGCCAATAAACATCAAGATAAAACAGCAGTCTGCTTTTTTTCTTCCATTAAGAAAATTCTTCTAAACCTGGCGCATGTTTATGTTTGTCTTGCTTGGCCTGAAAGTTTAAGTTGTGGATCAACCTAAGTATCGGCTCAATGGAAGTACCAATCTCCAATCACCCCTTCCTTCTGTCCAGACTCTAAGAGTGGTGAGTGGACAGTGTCAGGAGCCCTCTGCCTGCACCACGCAGTCTGCGTTTATAAAAGCACAGCCCAGCAAGCATAGTGGTGTCTCATCAGCATCAGACATGCGATGCTCAAGTGGGGGCAGGGTTACCTTTTCTTGAACAGACTCCCCGGGAACCAGCTGAGGCTCGATGGTAATGAACAGGGTGATGTAGGAGCCTTCACTCAGGCTTCGCACCGAGTCAAAACTCCGCTCGATAATCAGGTTTCGCTCCTTACTGTAGCCCAGAAGAACAGGGGGAATGTCTATTTTAAACGTCCCGTCAATCTGTGAAGAACATACGACTTGGTGAACATCCTGGTGGTTTTCCAGTGAAAGTTCAAAGGTAAGTGTCAGCCCCTCACCATCTGGTGAATCCAATAAAGACTGCTCGGACTGGCATTCAAGGCTCCCCCCTCTTTCTGGGCGTGTCTCCCTGAGCTCTCACGGGAAGGGCTCTCTACTTCCCTGCCTCTGCGAAGTTCTGCAGAGCGTCTCCCAGCTCTGCAGGTTGACCATGACAGCAGGTCACCTGGGTTCAAATCCTGGATCATACTCCGGGTGCCTCAGCTCGTGCATTTATAAAGAGACAATAACAGGACCTACTTGTAGGGTAGTTCCGGGTGCTGGATGAATAGATGTCAGACACCCAGAAAAATGCCTGGTGTATGCTCAGCGCTCAGTATGGATGGGCCAGCAGCCTTTCCGCCTTTTCTGGAATGCCCCAGAGTTTCATCCCCCCTTGCGGAGTATCAATCATTATTTCCAGGTTCGGGTCGGATGTCATCTCCTTCGTGAATTATTTTGTTATCTCCAGCAGCCTCACATAGAGTGTGTGTCTTCCGCTTGTTACCATGACCCACTCTGCCCCACTTTGTAGTCGTGTGCCTGTTCATCACTTTGTTCTGGAGACCTGATTTCTCTCTGTGAACAGATCTGCGTATCACCCCCGTTTCTACCACCCTTCTCCGGCGTAGAGCAGCGTTTTGTTTACACAGCAGGCGCTCAGGACCTGCGAGTCTAAGGCAGTATGAGCCACTTGTATGAAATGACCTGACTTCTGCAGAGGTTCCAAAAGACAGGACTTTCCACTCTTGTGTAGTCAACACAACAATAAGTTTATAAAAGACTGTTTAGTGCCACACAACTTTTCAGGGCCGGAATTTGAAATTCACACGCTTACAGAGAATCTGATTTTCATTTCGGTCTTCAGTGGCCTTTATGTCTCAGGAGAAATACAGAAAGAAGTTAAACTTTCAGTGACTGCGCCTTCTAGGGAGGAATTACGTGAGCTATTGTTTATTTTCCTCCTTACATCGGTGCTTTGCCCCAGAGCCTGCACTGGGGGGCAGGTGAGGGGTTCAGGGAAAAGGATATAGAAACAGACCGCCTGGGTGGCTCAGTCGTTAAGCGTCTGCCTTCAGCTCAGGTCATGATCCCAGGGTCCTGGGATCGAGTCCCGCATCGGGCTTCCTGCTCAGTGGGGAGTCTGCTTCTCCCTCCTCCACTCCCCCTGCTTGTGCTCTTTCTTTCTCTCACAAATAAATAAATAAAATCTTAAAAAAAAAAAAAAAAGGATACAGAAACAACGCCGTGAAACGTGCAGCTGAAACAGCCAGGCACATCTGATGTGGCAACTAGGCCGATGACCCAGAAAGGAGTGGGTGTTCTCTCCAGATAGCTGGAGTATCAGGATTTAAGACAGGGTTTCTCTGCCTGGGCACAGCTGGTCTTTGGGGCCTGAGGACTGCCTGTGGTGGGGGCTGTCCTGTGCACCGTGGGGTCTGCAGCATCCCCAGCCTCCACCCACAAGACACCACTAGCTCCCATTCCACTTGTGACAACCAGCAGTGTCTCCAGACCCTGCCCAATGTCCCCTGCGGGTGCATGGAAGAGCACGAGTTTGGGAGTCAGACGAAACTTTTAAATGACAAATGTAATAAAATCATTCTCAAAAGTAATACTGAAATGTATAAACCCCAACGTTGAATAGTTCTCTCCGTTTACCAGTCTCACTCCCCAGGGATACGCAATGTGAGCATTGTGGGAAGTGGGTAAAAGCTGAATCCCACTCTGCTGTAAGCTTTGGGATTTGAGTAGTGACTTCACATCTCTAGGCTCTGTCTCTTCATCTGTAAAATGGGGACAATAAAGCCGACTGGGTTGTTGTGAGGTTTAACTGAGGTGACATACAAACTAGCTAGTAATGGCATGTCATATAGTTACTCCTACTGTTATTAGTGGGTCAGGATTCGACTTGTTATGTGTGACTTCAAACCAGGACCTACAAATAGGGAAGCACACAGATTACGGCATGGTTCAAGGAAGAAATTTATAACAAAGCTATGGCAAAGAGCTCAAATTCCCTGTTTCTAGAGGCACTCAAGCAGAGTATGGACATGACCACAATACAGGAGATTAATTTATCAAGAAGGGATTGGGAGTAATTACCTCTGAGTACCCTTCCAAATGTGAAATTCAGCAATGCCAAATAACATGGCAGTTTTGTTTACAAACTCGTGTGCTCTTAAACAAAAAAAAATTTTTTTCATTTAAGATCTATTTAAAGAGGAAAATGTAAATTTTTTGGCCAGCCCATAACGGAAGCTTCACCTGGAGACTGTCCCGAGAATTGCAATTCCAATTATCCTTAAGCTTCCAACCCATCCAAGCCTGGGTCTTGCTGCAGACTGTGGCCCGGGAGACACCTGGTCTGGGTGGTCATCACGTGTAGGATTAAATCGCTCCCTCTGTGGCTGTGGGAGATTAGCTACAGGCTTGTGGCTCAAAGCCTCCCGTTGCCATGGATTTAATACCAGGGTATTAAAGCCATTGCAGAATCTTTCACTGTCCCAGATTAGAGCTACTAAGTCATTCAAGAGTTGTTAACCTAATGGGTCCCCTTAAGCAAAATCACTAAACTCTGAAGAAGGGTGTCTTAGTTGAACAGGTCTCCACTAACCGTTTCCCGTGTCTGAAATGGGGAGCACTCTAGAAGCATTAATAGAATGCACGTGATTAAATGGGCCGTCACTGTGCTGACTGTTCCCTTCAAGTTACTTTCAGGCATCCATCCACTCCACTTTGGTCGTTTTGACACGTTTCCGCTCCGTCTCACCATCTGCTTCACTTCTACTTAAATGTTAGAAAAATTCTCAGACTGGAACTGTCCTCCATTAACTCCTGACTCTAAGGCAGATGGATGTTTTACAAGCCACACAAATATGACCCAAGATCAATGGCTTTTTCTCTTGCTGACAGCGGCTCGCACATAGGTTCTCTCAGTGGGGAGGGTACGGGAGCAGTGGACGCAGCCGTTCGCGAGCCCCACGGAATTCGGACGTCGGATGCTTACCTTGGCTTGGAAGTAAATGGTGCTAAATGGGATTTTCACGCTTCCCAACCAGTGTCTCTCAATATGGGTGTGGATTCCCCTTCCTCTTTCACGGTCATCCTGCAGGGGGTGGGAAGTGGTAATTGTTGAGCAACGTGGGCCACTCATGTAATTAACCGGCCCCGGGAAAACGGCCGGGCTGTAGCCGGAAGCCCGCGGGGTAGGTTAGACAGACCTACGGCCCATTCTGGTTCAGACACTTCATCGTTTTGTGGCCCTGGGAAGGTCACTCAATCCCTTTGCACCTCAGTTTCCCCTTCACTAAACTGGAGATTTTACAATCTCCTTCACAGGGTTGTTCTAGAATTAAAACCACATATGTAACCCACCCAGTGCAGTTATCGAAAATCAAAAAGCTAGTTCTCTTCCTCCCTTCTCCCTTCCCTGCTCACACATGTCAGGTCTGAAACATGTCAAGCAGCACAAAGACAGAATGTGTTAGGGACTTACAGTGGGTAGAGGACGTGAACATGGGTGCAGACGCCTTCCTCCAAACTGTGAGCTTACCTCTAGGACGTCGTTCAGCACTTCATCAAAAATGTTAATGAACACATCGTCTCTCACTGACTGCAAACTGGTGGTGCTGTAATCCCCGTTGGGGGCCCTGCACATGGGCACATGTGACCAGGGACCATGACAAGGGGCAAGATAGAAACAATGAGCACTCAAATACCCAAATCTGAAAAATACTCAAATATGAGCATAGACATGAGGATTAAAAGCAGTGCTTTCATTTCAAATATTTACCTTTGTACTGAGACGCTTTAACATAATACCTATACTCAGGTGGAAGGGGCCCTAGACTGGAGGCTCCGTACAGACAGAAGCCCCGTCTGCTGGCTTGTCCTGCCGAGTCTCCCATCATCCCCTCAACCTGCATGGTGAGCTTTGCGAGGAGCCAGCTGGCCACAGCTGAGCTGGCTCGTGGACAGGCTACACTCAAGGGCTCCGGCTGACACTCATGCCGGTCAGTAAGCAGGTTTCCTAAGCAACTGGGCTTTAGAAGATGCGTCTCCAGCAGAGCACGCCCCAGTCTGAAACCTCCTGGTGTTATAAGGCTGCTGGAATGGTCCCTGCCTCCCACTCACTTTCCCACAGCTGACTAAGCAGAGCAGGGGTGAGTGAGGTTCATCTCCTGTAATATCACCTGCTCCGAGTCCAGCCCATACTGGGCTTTGCATGTATTTTGTTGAGCATCTGCCTTTATGTTTTCTCCTTCCATACACATAATGGTATGTGTCCCTCCCTTCTGACTGAACCAGCTCTAGTCCTTGCTCCGTCTCTAAGATACTAGGTGGCCTTATGCCAGTCACCTTCCATCTTTGGGTTTTCACTTCTTTTCTGTAAAAGTAGAGTGGTGCACTAGGTAATTTCTAAGGTTGTTTCAAGATCTGAAATAAGGAGTCTTTTAAATATCTAAAATCACTTAAAGTTTTAAATGCCTATGTAGTATTTCTGGTGAGGAAGAAAGCGTAATTATGGAAAGTAGGGAGTTACAGACTGGGGAGTTTACGTGAAGCTTCCAGAGTCGGGGAGACGAGGAACAACGGAAAGCTGTGTAGGGACTGTGGGGTCCAGGGAATGGGAGTCTTGGGGCTGCAGGATGCCAGAGCCTGGGGAGGCATGGAGGTGTCCCAACAGTGAACCCGAGTTTCAAAAGTGGGATGTTTTCCCATTTTACTCTCGACTGGAGTCAGTTGTGAGACCAGAGGAGCAGCGTGGGACTCGGGGTCAGACTCTTGATCTTGTCCTGGCTCACGCTACAGAAACTTTCACCCCCGAGGCCCCATTTTATTCACATTTCTTCAAAATATCCTACAGTTCCCTAAAGAGGAAAATACGCTCACCTAAAAGGAAGTTCCAGTTCTTCATTCCAGCTGGGGTTTGGTCCTTCAGCTGTAGTTGTGTGGCAAATCGTTCGTTGAAAAGAAACTTCTACAAAAGGACGTACTAAAACCTTCAAGAGAAGAGCAAGGTGTTAGAGTCCATAACGGCTCGTTGAATTATTTTGTTCTGGGCAGAGGTAGAATATGTTGACTAAGTAGTGTGTTTCCAAAGAAAATGAAGCATTAAAGAGACGATACAGTTTCTGGGCAGTTCTGAAGGGGCAAGGATCTAAGCTGACATGCAGCATCCAGGTACGTCACCTGGCCGAGGGGGTAGTCCGCGCTGCGGGTGGGGCTGTGTGTGGTCGGGGAAGCAGCACGCTTCTCGCTGAAAGTCTGTGACGATCTTGATGGCTGCTGGAATTTGCTAGGAGGGAGAAATGCAGGACAGAAATTAGATACTCAGCAAGATGGCTTCTCCAAAGAGGTATGGCTCTGGAGACAGTGTGTTGACACTTCGGAAAGCTTTTAGTATGCTCGGGTCATCTCCATGACCTAGTGAGTAATAGAGCCACCCCAACTCCCACCCCTAGCCCTGTATGTCTGGCTGGAACAGAGAAAAGTATCCTCCCCCCACTCCCAGGGGGTGCCTGAGTGAGGAATCTGTCTTTCCCCCCACAAATGAGAGCCTCAGTCCCTCTCAGGTGGCAGAATCCTGAACTTCCTGGCCAGCCTGCCCTGTCTCCACCCAGGTCCCCTCCCATTGCATTCCTTGTCTTTGACCTTGTATTCTCCAACAACTGTGAGCTACATATCCCATGTAAGACCCCTCTCTCCAGGCCTGCCAAGCCTCCCTGGGAAAGAGATCCTCACAGATTCCTAGCTTGAATTAGGATCTATGGGTCTTGCCTTCTTTCCCTTTTGGGATTCTTCTTTTTTTTTAAGAAAGAGAGCATGCACGTGAACCAGGGTTGTGGGGGGCGGGCAGTGGGTAAGGGTGGAGGTAGAGGAGAGGGGGGCAAAGGGAGAGGGAGAAAGAGAATCTTAAGCAGGCTCCACGTCCAGCATGGAGCCGGATGCTGGGCTCGATCTCACGACCCTGAGATCATGACCCGAGCCGAAATCAAGAGTTGGATGCTTAACTGACTAAGCCACCCAGATGCCCCATCCCTTTTGGGATTCTTAAAAAAAGAAATGAAGATCATCTCCAGAGAGTCTCTCCCAGATACCTCTCCCCTCCTCCTAACGACACGCCTGCATATTTACACTGAACTTTACAATTTACCAAGTATTTCATATTCATTACCGGCCAAAGTATAAATTGTCTCTTTCTACCAGACTGTCTTCCCTTTTCACAGATAAGGGTATCAGACAAGCCATGAGACAATAGAAGTGGAATATTTAACAAAACAGCTGCCAGAGAAACCCTTCTTCTCTCTGGAACACCACTGATTACAGTATTACAAAAACATCTGTGAAGCACCTACTATATTTGCGGCCTGTGTTAGACTCTGGGGCTGCAAAGATAAATCAAATGCACTAAAAGGGCCAGCAGACATGTAAACAAATAATCACAATCCAGTGGGAGGCACATTAGACCATAGGCATGGGCATGGGCCAGAAGAGTACAGAGAGGGAGATGAAAAATCCAATCTAATTGGATGCAAGGGTAGAGGGTGAAGATTTGGGCAGGCTTAATGCAAGCGTTGGTATCTGAGCTGTCTTAATGAGCCTACACGGAAATGTATAACACAGAGGATCAACCAAGCTTCCTTGTAATTTGAACGGAATGGTTTAACACTTAAAAAAAAATTCTATAGAGACCAAAATAAGAGAAACACCGATACGTTATTTTAAAAAACAGCTTTTCTCCCCACAGTTGAGCTTTGATGCAATCAAGGTGAAGGGGTTGGGCTATGGCTCGAGGAAGCAATGCTATGCACAGATTCAAGAGCTTAAATAGACATTTACTAGTAACCAAATGCTGGGAATAGTTGGTGATGATCAGATGTTCTGGAATGGGTGGAAGAGTTAGGCAGTAAAAAAAAAAAAGAAAGAAAAAAGAAAAAAAAAAGGTAAAATAATGGATGGGGGATAAATTTAAAAGGAAGATCCTAGAGAGGAGAGAAGATGCCAAAGTCCAGAACGGTGCTCTTCTGGGAATCAGATGGCACTGGGTGACCCTGGACAAGCCACCCACACATTTTCCCTTTTGTAAAATGGAGATATTAACAATAGTGAGAAGTAAGCAAAATAATCTGTATGAAAGAGCCTTAGCATAGTGCGGGGAAGTTGATGAATGGACAGGAAAGGTCAGCCTTCCTCATTACACGGGCAAGGGTACCAGCTGGTAGAAGTTTTGATTCTTGCTCTTTCTTTCTTTAATTCTTGCTCATCTCTGTTCTCTAAAGGGGGTAAGAGACTCAAGCTCACCCTACCCTGGTTGGGGGGTCCGCACTGCCCCAGTGTAGTGAAACGTAGTAGGCATCACTCATGTCTCAGAGCAGATAAAAGGGAAGTTACATTTTTATGCTCATAGTATGTGTGTTTAGAACCTAGGACATACACCATTTGGGTATCTGCCTAGCTCACACCCACTTCTCCGAGAACCGTTCCCCACCTTCAGGCCAGGGCCTGGGGACCCTGCCTCTCTGGCTGTAAGTGATTAGACCAGGGATCAACACCTGACCCAAGTTAGGACCTTCAGCTTTTCTCCTGAGAAGATGATACTTGGTGGATGGTACTGTGGCTGAAAGGACCACTTCCTTGACATGGAGATGAAGCAGACCCACAGAGGGAAGCAAGCAAGAGGGACAATGGGCCTCAGAAGAACCATCTCAATCTTTTACCATCCACTGTCCACCATGTAGTTCAGCTGTACCTCTTAACCTGAGTTCTCTGAGATATTCCCAATGAACCCCCTCCTTAGCCTAAATTGACTGAGTTGGTTCTATTACTTGCAACCAATAGTGTTTTGGCTTCAGTAAGAGCGCCGCTCACTCCTAGCCCCCATGATCAACCACTACGTTCAATGTGGGGGTGGACATGCTATAAAGAAGTGGACCACTTGCCTGGGACCCTGTACTCTCCATCCCAGGGCCATCTGGAGGGCTCTCACCTTGCTGTGGGCTTCCTCACGGGAATGTCATAAGCCCGGATGATGTTCACCAGCACCTTTATGTCTCCATCAGACAGGTTTTGGGCTGTCACCTTCTTCCGACCTTTTCTCCTTGGCCTTAGTGGTCGCTTTTGTTCTGCCAGCTTGAAAAGGCTTAGCCCCAGAATGCTATGATTACAGAACAGGATTAGGACTCTGAGGAAAGGAAAGGTCTGGAAAGCTGTGAGACAATTTCCCAAACTCTTCCCCAAGGGGCCCTCAAAGGCCCCTGAAAAACTCTTGTCTTTTTAAGGAGGGTGGAAATCATCAAAGAAATTCTCCCGAGATTGGGGAGATCCTCTGGTGTGGATCCTTACACTGATTTTAGTTGCTACTGATCAGAGGAAGAAAAGTGTGCTTGGGCCCCTCTTGCTTCCCGCCGCCTTGTGCTCTGCCTGCTCATCCCTCAAATGTGCGGGTGCTCTGCCTGCTCTCGCCTTTGCTCGGCCAGGCCAGTCCTGTGCATGGGTGCCCTCCCCACTTCCTCCTCGTCTGCCCCTTCAGGGCCGGTGTCTCCCTTCCCCAGGGCCCAGCCACGCCAGCTAGAAGGGGCGCTCCCTCTCCTGAGCACTGGAGCACACGTTAACCTGCTCCATTCACATGGTGATGTTCACAGCCTTCTTGGGCACTTCTGGGGGTACCTCGGCCTCTGGAGTTAGACAAAGCCGTGGGACTCCTGGCTCAGCTCTTTGACCTTGGGCACATTATCTCACCTCTTTGTCTCTGTTTCATCATCTGTAAAATGGGGATGATCATACCTACCTCTTGGGGTGAGGAAGAGGATAAAGGGAGGGGGTTGTGCAAAGCACCCTGGCACTGGTCTAGCACTGGGTGGATGCCCTAAAATGGCAGCTGTTGGAAAGATGAGGCTGGCATGATGGCAGTGATTCTGCAGGAGGAAGGGGTGGGCCAGGAGGATCCCTCTCCACTCTCCCTCTCACTGAGGTGAAATCCCGTAAACACTTCCAAGAGGATGGGAGCACGGGCAGTGGGTCATGGCGGGAGAAAGGGCCACGAAGCAGATCATTAAAGTCCAGCCCAGAGATTGGACAGAGGCACAGACGTGAGTCTGGATCTGCAGGTTGACGCCATGGGGCCAGACAGCGCGGGACAGAGCCGAGCGGCCTTCTTCCGAGGGCCATGTGCTGGCTGGGGAGGCTACGGCCCCCGACGGGCTTCCGCTTGCTCCCCTGCGGGTCTTCTATGGATCAAGCAGAGTGCTGGGTGCCTTACAGAGACCATTTCAAATCCTGACAAGGGCAACATTTACCCCATTTTTCACATGAAGAAACTGGGAGGCGACAGGATTTGCTGAAGTCTCCTCAGTAAGAGGGAGCTGGGGCTCTAACTCGGCTCACTCTGACTAAACAGCCAGCTTCTTCCTCTTTTGAAAATACCGACATATATTTATTTTTAACTCCCTTAAAACAAGAGCAGGCCCGTTACATATTAATATAATGGAAAGTTATGAAAAATAACTATCTTCCCCCCCCCAAAAAAGACTGTGAGGAGAGTGACATTGCAAATCTCTTTTTTCTGTGTGTGACTTGTTATCTGCATTTTACTATTTTTAGTTTATTTTTATTGAGACGTAATTGTCATATAACTGTGTAAATTTAAGACGTACAGTGTGTTGGTCTGATATATTTACATATTGGAGTATGGCTGCCAGTGAGGTGATAGCCAACACCTCTTAACTTCACAGAATTATCTTTTTTTTGTGGGGGGAGAACAATTAAGATCAAGGCGCTTAGTAACTTTGAAGTCTATGATCAGTACTGACTGTATTCACTTTGCTACGCCTGAGATCTCCAGAACTTATTTAATCACTAGTTGCAAGTTTGTATCCTCAAACAACATCTCCCCGATTTTCCCACCCCCTGGCCACTGGTAACCACCATTCTACTCTGTTTTTACGAGTTTGGCTTTTTTAGATTCCACATATAAGTGAGATCATACAGTATTTGTCTTTCTCTGTCTGATTTATCTCACTTAGCATAATGCCCTCAAGGTTCATGTTGTTGTAAATTAAGCCCATCTTATTAATCACTCTGCCAGGACACCCACCTAACCCAAACTTGGGGACCTCTGAGAGACACCTTTGCCAGAGGGTCCTAACATGGCACATCCCTTCTCATTGTCAAACCCCACCCCCCCCCCCCAGAGGTGGCTCTTCTCAGGAGACTTTGCCGCCCTGCCAGCAGTCAGCATGGAAACATCTTGGTGGTTGGGACCATTAAATACAGAAACATCTTAGTTTAATGCTAAGAACAAACCAAAATTAAAAGAAGAAAGAACATACCCTGAGCCTTCAGAACTTAATGCAGAAAGTAAAGCAGAAAAAGAAAAAGAAAGAAAAGAAATGGAAAAACAGCATGAAAAATCACCATCTATTCTAAAGTATAATTTTCATGACTGAAAAAATACATTCAGTGACTGGACTCTGGGCCTGGGATAAAGAGGGAGGTTTGCACGAGTGGCTGTGGGTGCAGCCTCCCTCCTGGATATGGATGGAGGCCAAGCCAAAGAAAGGGGTTGTCATGATAGACATTTTTTTGTCTCCTTCCCAACTTGGTGGTGGAGAGAAAGTACATGCATAGGAAATAGACTTTTTAGGAGACCAAGAGATTTAATCACAGAACAGGTCGGGAAGTCAATGCACTGCACGGGACCACCAATATGAAAGTTATTTTTCATCTTTTATGCCTCCACTTTGAGTTGAGATAATTATTGGATTATTCTAGGTAACAGGGAGACAATCAAGCAAATGCAATTGAATCCCAACTTCTATGTAAATATTCATTTTCCCTACTCCCCCTGCCCCCTCACCAACCACACAGCAGCTCTCAGCCTCCCCCCACCCCCTGGAGCCCCAGTGCTTATTCTGAGCCCCCCCTCTGCCCCGTGTGTGGGGGGGAGTGAGGGACAGACTGGAAGGGGGAGGTAGAAAGCAGGAGGGAAATGCTGTCAGACTTCATCTGATTGCAGCGGGGAACCGGCAAAGGCCTGTGGAGCTGACTTGGGCACAGTGGGACATGAGATGGTGTGTACTGGGCGTGATAGAGAGCATCTCGTGTGACTTTTTCAACAAAACCCCCAACTAATGTAACCATGAGGTGTTAATCAGGTTTTACCAGTTCCCAGCATTACTGGGGGCTCAAATGCGGACCATACAAGGATAAACATCTTTTATGTATGTGAAAATTTTAACATAGTACAATAAAAAGAATATTTATAAGAAACAAAAGATTTGTTTGCTTTTACCTGATATTGGGAACTTCTTCTTCTACGATCAAGTCCGAAAGAAGAAAATGATGTTTTGCAATCAGGAAACGATTTATCACTGATTCTCTAACCTGAGGACAGACAAGTGTTTTATTTAAAATCTCCCCAGTACACAGACTTCACAGCTCACTCCCTTGACTCCTTCGAGTTTTCACCTTGCCAGGTGACACCTCAGTGCATCCGCCTAGCGCACCTGCACTTTTCTCCCTGGTGCTGACCTCTTCCTATAGAAATCAACCCGCTTTGCTCACTAACATAAGCTCCCTAAGGCAGAGGGTTCTGTTTCGTTCACTGCTATATTCGTGGGTCCTGGGAAGGTTCCTGGTGGATGATAGTGAAATTTTGCTGAATGAATGAACAATTGGCAAAAATAGGACCAATCGTCAGATTCTTAACTTCTTCCTCTATTCAGACTGACTTATTTTCCAATTATTCCTTAAATAGAGGACCTCTTAAATGTCATAAATTGTTGTTTTTTTTTATAAGGAGCCCTCGGGGTAGATCATTTGGGTGGGAAAAATGTACTCTAGTGACTATAGCATTTCCTACAAGTTAAATTTATTAAAAGAAGGAAGGGCAAAAGGATATTTCAAGTTTTTCATGCATCAGGGCAGTTAGTATGTAGTTTATAAAATTTTTTCATTACAAAGGTGATATGATGCAAACATTCAAATATGAGAAAAATCACGACTTAGAAATTGTGTCCCTTGTAATCATGCCCCCCTCAAGATAACCACTGATAATATACTGAGATACATCCTAGTGTTCCATATGTTCAAAAGATGAAGACAGCTGTTAATTTTGTATCTGTAATTATGAGCAAATAAGTCTGGAGAGGTTAAGTGACGTTTCAGTATCCCATAGAGGACTTCGAAGAATAGGCACCACCCTCCCCCGTGTGAGGGTGCTGGTTATTTCCCCCTCTGAGGACTCTGTAAAATGGTTTTCCTTACCTGCTGGAGGTACTTGGCGACTATGGCCCTATGGGTATCTATGTGGTCCTTGGTATCAATTACATTTCTGTCTCGTAAACGTTTCTCATAGTCCTAAAATTAAAAAGGAATAATTTTATGACTGTAAATTACTGGTACTCCCCCATGCGAGACTAGAGAATTTATCTTGAGATTAGAGAATTTGTCACATGTGGTTTAAGTAATAAATTATGGTTCTAAATATTTCTTCCACCTTCCTCTTCATTTTTGGTCCAAGATTGATCTTCGATGCAGTATGCAGGTTTTGGAACCAGTTGGTTGAACTGGCTTATAAGTAGAAGATAATTCTGTAGAGCAATTACAACTTAAGCTCTTTATGCAGGAAGAAAGAGGCCACAGAGATAACAGAGAGACTCACTATAGCTCAAGATGCTAAGCTCACCCAAGCAACTCAGACAAAGCCTCTGCTCACATTTTTGTCTTTTCTATTTTAAGTGGAGCAATTACAAAAATAGTAAATAGCATCTGGCCGCAGCTGATGTGGGTCACCTACTTGGAGGAGAGTAGAGGGTGCGTGAGCTTTGTCTTCTTAGGCTGCTGACTTTGCTCTCTCTATCGGTAAAATCCCCCGTGGGCCCAGGAAGCTGCCATGTTCTGCTTCAGTCCTTTGTTGGTCACAGCTGAATACCCCGGGTGTCTCCTAACCCAGCCTGGGAAACTCAAGCAATCTGTTCCCAAGATTTCTTTTTTTCTTTCTCTCTTTCTTCCTTTTTTTTTTTTTTTTAGATTTATCTATTTATTTTAGAGAGAGAGTATGCCTGAGAGTGTGGGGGTGGGGGGAAGGGGAAGAAGAAGGAGAGAATTCTCGAGCAGACTCCCTGCTCAGCACAACCCAACTCCGGCCGGATCCCCAGACCCTGAGATCATGACCTGAGCCGAAACCAAGACCCAGATGCTTAACCGACCGAGCCACCCAGGTGCCCCTGTAGCTGTTCCCAAGATTTTTAAACTTGGGACAAGATGGAGAAAAGTCCTGGCAGTGTTTAGGTTCTGGATCCAGGGGTCATTGAGGCACAGATGAACTCCCGCCATTCATGCCTCTTTAGATATTTAACCCTATTTTGGCATTTCATCATCCAATAAACTCTCCTTAGTGCCTGAAGTAGCTTAAATTGGCTTTTTATCACTCACCATCACAAATCCAAACTAATACAAAGAAGAACCAAGTAACCAAAAATATTCTAATGGCTCTTCATTTACCTCATCAAACACTAACTTGCCTGTCTGGCTTTCACTGGCCTGCTGTCCCTGCCCCCCCAAAACACACCCCTATTGCCTGTAGCTCCTCAAAGGCTCCCCACCTGCGGGCCCCCTCCTCCTGTGGGCCCTGCCCACCCAGGGCGACTGAGACCCCAGCAGCTCCCCTCAGCGCTTAACCAAGCGTTGTGCTTGGTAAATACTTAATGGGTTAAACTGGCACTGAATTCCTGACAGGAACAGCATGGCAGGATAATTTCCCATAGTAACACTTAAGATACTTTTCAACCCTAATTTTTCTTAGTTTATACGTCATATTGGGCAAAGAGATTATTTAAACATTAAGTTTAAGAAAAATAATGGAAAGGTTAAGTGTTATAAACGAGAAACCACTATGGCTATTGAGAACATGACAGCAAGAAAACACACACATAATAGTATACCGAATGGTACGGCGGTATTTTATTATGGTATTAACTCCTCCATGGCAATTTCTTACCTGGAATACTTTTTCCATAATTTCTCGGTCATATGCTGGAATTTGCTTATAATTTCGGAATTCTGGCACCTCTTGGCTTCTAAGACAAAGAAGCCTGAATCGTTTGGATCTATTCAATTCCTCATCTGAAACAAAGTTAAATTCTTGCTGCAGCTGTTCCAGGCGAAAGAAATCAGGGACATAGGATTCACCGCTGGTAGCAACCTACAGAAAACAAGAGATACAACTTTATTTTTTTTTATTTTTTTAAAAGATTTTATTTATTTATTTGAGACAGAGAGAATGAGAGAGAGAGAGCACATGAGAGGGGGGAGGGTCAGAGGGAGAAGCAGACTCCCTGCCGAGCAGGGAGCCCGATGCGGAACTCGATCTCGGGACTCCAGGATCATGACCTGAGCCAAAGGCAGTCGCTTAACCAACTGAGCCACCCAGGCGCCCGAGATACAACTTTAGTTGGCAGGCGGATTGCATCTGAAGAAACCCAGCTTTTGGGTTTCTTTTGGGAATGGAAGCTGAATAGTTGTGGACTGAGACTTGAAACATCCCGCATTTCATTGAAGGGCAAAATGCGCTAAAATATAACAGTAATAAGGCAGATGCTATTCTATTCCTGTACTAGCTATAAAAAGTACTGCAAATCATTTTCATTTTTTGGCATGCCTGCTCCCCTCATAGGTGTTATGCAAATCTACAGCCTGAAAAGTGAGAGATTTGTATCAGTGTATTAGTAGGTGCCTGTTGGAGATAGGATTCTTATATACACACTGTATGTGAAATCTAATATATGTATTTAAAATATATTTAAGATATATTGCATATTAAAATACTTAAAAATAACTTAATATAACTTTAAAAATATATTTAACAAAATATTTTGAAATATTAAAAGAAATACATTTATGCACACATGTAGATCAGGTCTCAGAATCAGCTGATCGGCTTCCCTGGCTCCAGGGCCATGCTCTTCTGTCTCTGAACAGCACCTCATGGCCTTGGTCAGTGAGTAGAGAGAGCCAGAGATCGTTCTGAGCGCCAACCTCCCTACACGGGCACTGAAAGGACGGTTTCAGGGTACCACTGAGAGGCTGAGCAGGTGGGCTGCACTCTGCCCAGGTGTCTGCTTGCCCCTCTGCTGGGGGTTTGGTCAGTGGCACCCTCCTCCTCGCAGAAGGAAAGCCAGGGAGCAAAGATTTGCTGGGGCTTTGCACTGGGAAAGGTGATCCTGCTGTGAAAATCCATTAAAAAGAGACTAGTCAGGAAGGCATCCCTGTGTTCTGTCCTTCTATGGGAAGACAAATAGTTTAAAAGAAAAACATGGAGGTGACACTTGTATTATATTACCACTGACTTAAAGATAGTAATGGAGGGCGCCTGGGTGGCTCAGTCGTTAAGCGTCTGCCTTCAGCTCAGGTCATGATCCCGGGGTCCTGGGATCGAGCCCCGCATCGGGCTCCCTGCTCAGCTTCCTATTTCTCCCTATGTCTTTCCTCCCCACTCATGCTCGCTTGCTCTCTCTTGCAAAAATAAATAAATAAAATCTTAAAAAAAAAAGATAGTAATCGAAACATGATTTGAAAACTCTACATGGAATAGACTATGCTCTAGGTAATATGGCCTATTCTTTCCAATATTTTTTTTAGTCACACTAAGAAGTATCATGTTGGAAGGAGAGCTTATAAAGATAAAAATAAAAATAAACCAAAGCTTGCTTTGAGACTTATCTTAGAAATTTAAGGACAGAAATGAACATGTTATTCTGGTTACAGTTCCCCTGCTGATGAACTCACACGAATGAACTTGATCACAGAATGTGTTGCTGTGGTCACTTTCCAGATCATCTACTTGTTTATTATGTTTTTGTGGGAATTATGAACTTGGGTGTAAAAACAATTGTATTTGCCACCAAGAGAAATCATTTACTGACTAATGTTCCATTTTATTTATAAAGTCACTGAAGAAAGAATTTTGAATGTTATGACAGGCAAAAGCAATTTGTCTCAGACATACTTAAATGAATCCTAAATGATAATCTAATTAACCATCAAACAGGAAAACAAACATAACCACCATTTCTGAAAACACTCCTACCAGCCGTTCCAGGTGTGATGGACCGAGCACGTGCTCTGAAATCAGATCGACTTGGACCCGAGTCCTCACCAGTCGTGTGAGCTCGAGCAATGACTCTGAGCGGCTGCACGCAGGTTCCTCTCCATAGGAGGGGCCAAGTAAGACCTCTCTTTAGGGTTTTGCAGAAGTTAGAGATAAGAGTAACACCACCACCACAGTAACAACTATTATTGATTGCACACCGACTGTGTGCCCAGCTAAGTGTGGAAATGCAGCAGTGCATATCCTCATGGACACACTGTGATGGCGTCAGAGTGCCTAGAAAGCATGAGCCAGACAGGGGCAGAGCCTGACCTTAAACCAGTCGTTCAACCCAGCCCTCATGTTCTTAAACGCTATCGCACTGGAGAATACCGTGTGAAAGAAAATGTGTGTGAAGGGCTGAGCCATTTCTATTATGATCACTCCAACTCGAGAAATGGGGGCGTGCACACAGTTCTCCTGCCACATTACCGAGATTAGCTGCATCAGAGGGGCATTGTTGGGGTCGTTCGGGTCGAGCTTGGACTCCGCCGCCCACTTGGCCAACTTTTTCAAGTCTGTCAGTCCGGATGTGCCAATAGATGAGATGGCATCTGCCCTCTTCAAAGCACTGGAAAAAAAGTGAATGCCATGAGATGGATGTGTTCACGGGGCAGTTTGCCTTAGGCCCACAAAATCCCAGGAACAGCACTGCTTAAGGAGGCTCTTGCTTTCTATGTGAGAAAATCTGATGATAAGAAAGGAGTTGTGCCATTTTTCTTTACTTGATGACTGCTATTAAGTATGTTATAGGGATAATAGAGAAGGGTGATTGGGGGGAGAAAATACTTGCAATCCATAAGTCTGATAAGGAGTTAAGGTTTAAAATATACAGGGAATCATAGCTCAATAGCAGTAACGCAAAATCTAATGAAAAAATGGGCAGAGCTGGGCGCCTGGGTGGCTCAGTTGGTTAAGCGACTGCCTTCGGCTCAGGTCATGATCCTGGAGTCCCGGGATCGAGTCCCGCATTGGGCTCCTTGCTCAGCGAGGAGTCTGCTTCTCCCTCTGACCCTCCCCCCCTCGTGCTCTCTCTCTCATTCTCTCTCTCTCAAATAAATAAATAAAATCTTTAAAAAAAAAAAATGGGCAGAGGACCACAAGAGACATTTTTCCAAAGAAGACATACAGATGGCCAGTGGGGACATGAAAAGGTACTCAACATCACTCCCCACCAGGGAGACACAAATCAAACCGACACTTGTTAGAATGGCCATCATCAAAAAGACACGAGATACCAAGTGTTGGTGAGGATGTGGAGAAAAGGGAACCTCGTGCACTGTTGGCAGGAATGTAAATTGGTGCAAACACTGGAGGTTCCTCAAGAAATTAAAAGTAGAACTGCTGTATGATTCAGTAATTCCACTTCCGGGTATATATCTGAAGGACACAAAATCACTATCCTGAAGAGGTACCTGCACCCCCATGTTTATTACAGCATTATTTATAATAGCCAAGACATGGAAACAACTTAACTGTCCATCCGTGGAAGAAGGGATAAAGAAAATGTGGCATGTATACATAATAGAATATTACCCAGCCGTAAAAAAGGAGGCATCCTGCCATTTGCAACAACATGGATGGAGCGTGAGGGCATTATGCTAAGTGAAAGCAGTCACACAGAGCAAGGCAGATATTGTAGGATTTCACTTATATATGGAATTTTAAAAAAACAAAACTTGTAGAAACAGAGAACAGATTGGTAGTTGCCAGAGGTGGGGTTAGGGAGGGGGATGGGTGAAGGAGGTCAAAAGGTCCAAAGTTCCAGTCATACGATAAATAAGTCTGGGAGATCTAATGTACAGCATGGCGATCACAGTTAACAATACTGTATTTTACATTTTAAAGGTCCTGAGAGAGTAGATCTGAAAAGTTCTCATGGCAAGGAAAACAAAATTTGTCACTATGTGTGGTGACGGATATAAAGTAGACTTATTTGGGTGATTAATCCACACTATATACCTTAATCAAATCATTATGGTGTACACCTTAAACTTATACGATGTTCTGTGTCAGTTCCATCTCAATAAAACAAACAAACAAAATGAAGTATGATGTGGCGCCCATCCCTAGAGTCCCAGGATCCAGGCCAGATCTGCCTCGTGCCTCGCTCCCCACACAACTGGGGACTTAAATGCACAACTGATTTAAGCACCAACTTTGGACACGCCTGAGTTGCCAGGAGGCCCGGGGTTGTTGGCAACAGTGAGTTGGGGCTTCGTTAGTAGCACTGCATTTTTCGTTACTCGCGCTGGGCTTGACCCCCTCTCCTGAGGAGTTGGAGCTTTCATCCCTGGTGCGGAACTCAGTGGCTGATACATCTGTCATCTGAGGGAATGAATGGAGGTCTTCATTGTCATCTTTTTAGGAGGTACTATTTTGGATACATCTGTCATGCTTATACTCCAAGGCCTCCGCGGGATACATCTGTCATGCTTATACTCCAAGTATACATCTGTCATGCTTATACTCCAAGGCCTCCGCGGGACGTGGCTACTGGACTCCTGACTGCAAAAGCACAGAGCAGCATTCCCTGTGCTTGTCCCAGGGACACAGGCATCAGAATCGGGGCAGAGAGGACATAAAGGGAACAAAACGAGCCCCACTCTGTTTTCACTCATGTCATAAATGACAGCCTGTGAATTGGAAAGTGTCTTCTTGATGATCAGGGTAAATCCTTTAGTTTTAGAGTGGAGGCACCTGAGGCCTAGAAGGTTAAAAGATCAACTCAAGGCACAACTGTTGGGGCAGGACGGAAGCAAGAATTGAGCCTGGCTCCCGTAGTCCAGGCTGCCTGGGCAGGCACCAGCCACAAGGAGGCGGGACCAGCTTAGGGGGGAAATGGGGGAGGTCCAGAGTGCCTTTTCTTCTGCTCTGGTAGGAACCTAAGGAGCTAGCAATCAAGGAAGAGATCTGACCGTGGGGACTTTTATAATAATCAGAAGGTTCTACAACCATCCTCATTCACACTGAGGACCACGTATACACGTGCTGTGTACTTCCCCCGTCTATAAAATGGGGACAGGAATCCTTCACAGAGTTACTGGAGAGATTAAGTAAGGCGAAGTGCTTTTTGCTGTTTCTGACACTGCTGAACATCTAATATTTATTAGGCTATTAATATTTTAATTCTTACCTCAAGAACAATAAAAAGACCCTGAAAATACTGGCACATGAGAATAAAAGGAAAGAATGTGATATTGCAGGCTTCCCCCTCCCGTGTCATGAATGCAAACGCTGACATTACTCATGCATTTATTCTAGACACACAATACCTTCTAAATCCGATGTTCTGCTGTGACAGTGGGGGAATTAAAGGGATCCCGTTTTCTCCAATGGCCCAAGCCACACCGTTGGACACCTTCCCCGAGGTCATTAGAATCAGTTGATTACTACCGTCCGCTTCAAATGAGAAGGGCACTCCTAGGGAAACACCAGATTACACAGACGTTGTTGAGGAAAAGGGAGCGAGCCCAGCCCTGGTAGGAAAGCAGACAGTCAAATGGGATGGAGGGGCTTTAGGGCTGGCAGGATGGAACATAATTCCGATCAGCATCCCTGAACTTCTTCAGGCAATGACGCTCAGCATTAGCCACTTGGTTCTAGCTCTGACAGCAGTGTGTAGACCTTACAGAATGAATGAGGCACTGTGGAGTGGGACATCTGTGTGCCTATTCTGGTTCTGCCACTTAACAGCTGTGTGACCACAAACAGATTGCTTAACTTCTCTAAGCCTTCGTTTCTTTATGTATAAAATAGGGATAAAAATAGTACCTCCTAAAAAGATGACAGTGAAGACCTCCATTCATTCACTCAGTCAATAGATACGCATTTGAGTCCCTCCTTCATGCCAGGCACTATTTTAGGGACTGCAGATTGCAGTAAAGAAGCAGAACTGATGAAAATCCCTGTTCTCAAGGAGTTTATATTCCAGCAAGGGAGGCAGGCAATAAATAAGAGAAATAAGAGGAACGTGTGAGTTTTACTATTAGATGTTGGGGGGTTGACCTATTTTTATTGATTTTGAGGGGGGATCTCTGTGCCTCCTGGATTTTGATGCTTGTTTCCTTCCCCAAATTAAGGAGGTTCTCTGCTATAATTTGTTCCAATATACCTTCTGCCCCCCTCTCTCTTTCTTCTTCTGGGATCCCAATTATTCTAATGTTGTTTCACTTTATGGTATCACTTATCTCTCTAATCTCCCTTTGTGATCCAGTAGTTGTTTATCTTTTTCTCAGCTTCTTTATTCTCCATCATTTGGTCTCCTATATCACTAATTCTCTCTTCTGCCTCATTTATCCTGGCAGTTAGAACCTCCATTTTTTATTGCACCTCATTAATAGCCTTTTTGATTTCTACTTGGTTAGATTTTAGTTCTTTTACTTCAGAAAGGGATTCTCTAGTATCTTCTATGCTTTTTTCAAGCTCAGCTAGTCTCTTTATCATTGTTATTTTGAATTCTAGTTCCAACATCTTACTAATGACTGTACTGATTAGGTCCCTGGCAGTTGGTACTGCCTCTTGTACTTTTTGAGTTTTTCCACCTTGTCATTTTGTCCAGAGGAGAATAGATGAATGAGAGAACAAAATGCTAAGAAAATGCTAAAACGGTAACAACAACCCTAGAAAAATACACACTAAACAAATCAGAAGAGACCCGAAACTGGGGGGAAAAGAAAGGAAAAAAAAATATGATTAGTCTGGTGAACAGAACAGAGCCACACAATAGATTTTGGGTGTATTTTGGTCTGTTAGAAGAAATTGTCTCCCAAAATTTTAAAGAAAGAAAAACTTATAATATACACAAAAATAAGGGTAAATACAATGAAGGGATGAAATATGACTGTGAAGATGAAAATTAAAAAAGATTTTAAAAAAGGAATTGGTAAGAAGTTGGTGGGAATGCAAGCTGGTGCAGCCACTCCAGAAAACAGTATGGAGGTTCCTCAAAAAGTTGAAAATAGAGCTACCCTATGACCTAGCAATTGCACTACTGGGTATTTACCCCAAAGATACAAATGTAGTGATCTGAAGGGGCACATGCACCCCAATGTTTATAGCAGCAATGTCCACAATAGCCAAACTATGGAAAGAGCCTAGATGTCCATCAACAGATGAATGGATAAAGAAGAAGTGGTATATATATACAATGGAATATTATGCAGCCATCAAAAAATGAAATCTTGCCTTTGCAATGATGTGGATGGAACTAGAGGGTATTATGCTAAGCGAATTAAATCAATCAGAGAAAGACAAGTATCATATGACCTCACTGATATGAGGAATTTGAGAAACAAGACCGAGGATCATAGGGAGAGAGAGGGAAAAATGAAACAAGACAAAACTGGAGAGGGAGACAAACCATAGGAGACTCTTAATCTCAGGAAACAAACTGAGGGTTGCTGGAGTGGAGGGGGGTGGGAGGGATGGGGTGGCTGGGTGATGGACATTGGGGAGGGTATGTGCTATGGTGAGTGCTGTGAACTGTGTAAGACTGATGAATCACAGACCTGTACCCCTGAAACAAGGGTTATTATATGTTAATAAAAAAATAAAATAAATAAATAAAAAAGAGGAACATGTGGTACGTTAGAGAGGGATAGATGTGGAGGAGAAACCATAAATTAGGGAACATATATAGAAAATGTGCATTTGTGGGGGTGGGGAAGGGCTGAACTTTTAGATGGGGTGGCAGAGGAGGCTCCATGAGAGGGGACTTTTGGATAAAGGCCTGAAGAAAAGGAGGAAATGAGACATGCAGATATGTTGGGAAAGAGCATTTTTGGCAGAAGGAATAAGTTCAAGTGCCTGAGGGTGGGGCTATGCCCTAGTGAGGAGCCACACGTCAGAGCACTTAGTGCCTGGAAGACTGTGGCCACTCAACAAACCTCAGCTACTCTTAAACTACTGGGCAACCATAAGCCTCACTTACTTATCTGGCTTCTACCAGTTGGAAATTAATGATAAAAAGTCTCGGGGCAGGTTGTTTAATCAACTCAAGGAAGAAAAGATTTTCAAGCACTAAATATAGCGACTGCATGCCCTGGAGTTCCAGTTAATATTAGCAGCACAAAACAGAACCACTATTACACTGTAAGAGCATCTTTGTATTTTTCAAAGATCTTTCCTTCAAATTGAACGTCCACTTTAATCTTCAAAATAACCCTAAAAGACATTAAAGGATGTATCTTTAGATTCATTTTGTGTATGAAGACAATGATATTCAAAGAGATTACATAATTACTAGGGTGCCACACCTTATCAGTGTGAGAGCTGGAACTAAAGCCTAGATCTCCAGACTTGCAGGTTGGCAATTGGATTTGAGCCTCAAAGAATTCTTGCAGATACATCTCCAGATACGAGCTCACAATAGAAAATCACTAGACACATAAGGAAACAAGACACCATGAAAAGGGGCAACAGAATCAGACCAATAAGCAGGTAGGTATTGAAATGATCAGATACAGAATGTTAAAAAGTATGTGTAATATGTTTTTAAAAATAAAGGAAGTAATGACTGAATAAAAGAAATGAAGTGATTGAGAGTCGGAGGAAAGGACAAACGTTATCAGAACTGACCAGACAGATTGGAAAAGAATTAAATAGAATTTCTAGAGGTGAAAAATGCAAAAATTAAAATGAAAAACTCAGTGATTAGACACAGCCAAAGAGTGAATTCATGACTTGGAAGACAGATTTAAAGAAGTTTTACGGAATACAGTAGTGAAAGAAAAAGATAGCAAGGTATATTATGGAGTTAAGAAACATGGTGAACAGAGAAGGTACATCATCTATCTAATCACAGTTATAGGGAATAAGAGAGATAATATTAATTAATAATATCCCTATTATAATTATTTAAGTTTTTTCAATTTTTTCAGCCTTATGAATAATACCATGATGTACATTTTTTTATGCACAAAGCTTTGTCCTCGTTTCAAATTATTTCCTTATAAAAGATTCCTAGAAGAAAAATTAAGATGTTAAAGGCATTTTAAAGGTCTTTATCCACATTGTCAAACTACTTTATACTTGCCTAGTTATATGAATTTATTGGCCACCCACAGTATACAAAAAAAGACTGCAAAAAAGTGCAATTCATCATTTTAATTTGAATTTCTGAAAGCAATTTTATAATTTTCTGGTTGTTTGAAAATGAAAAAAAAAAGGCTATGTTCAAAACTGACAGTAAAATCGTGAGCTACTAATAATAATTAGCTTTCCATACCACTTCCAACTCCCTCGTGGTCCAGTGTCACATGCTGGTTACTGCTAAACTCCACTTCTTCAATGGGAGCCCTTCCAGTGACAATGGTAGTTTCAGGAATAGGCAGAAACACTTCCGCTAGCAAAGTGGTACCACTGTGTCCAATTGTTTCATATACCTGAAATTGAAGAAGAAAAACAGTCAAAGAAAAATAGCAGGAGTGTGCTCCCAGATATTTAATCCACTTATCTATGTGGACCACTGTTCTCGCCCAGAGCATCCATTTCAGAGTGGAAAAGTTGAGTTGTGTTATTATGGTTCCCATGGACAATAAGTTACACCCTATTTGTGGCCAAGTTGTTGACATCCTGTCCTCTTGTCTGGTCTACTAACCTGGGGTAGAGAGGTTAATCAAATTAGTAGGCTACCAAAACTGTTTCATTTCAAGCCAATACACAGGTTATCTGGAGAGTGGGATTCCTCTTTTTCCTGGTTTATGTTATCTCGGAAAGAAACGCCATCAGGTGGAATGGGTCAGATAAAATGAGCATGCCACTAGGTGATTTATTATTTACACCAACCTCAAAGTCAATAGGAGAAGTATCATACCTAGAAGTACTCTAGAGTATCAGGTTCAAATCTACTATTTAGTAAATCTTTCAAATTCTTTCCTTCAAGAGCTCATTTAATTTGTTGGCTGCTGAAACCCTACCAGCTCCTTCTCAGACTTTCTCCCAAGAGGGAGCCAACTAGACCCGCTGCAGTCTAATTACTGTGGTGTGTCTCATTATACTGTCATCTCCATGAGATTAAGGGTCCATTGCCAAGGCAACCGTAGATTATGAATATACAAGGCAGCTTCAGGAGGAACTTTGCTCCATTGGATCAAATTTCTCTTGTGTCCTCGGATCATTGCACTTTTGTGGTAAGAAGATGTCAAAATATTCCACAGTTCTGCTGGCTTCTTTCCTGTGTTTTATTCTTTCCCTGCAAGAGGTCTCTGGCTGGTACACATTTCTCCAAAGTGCTGATTTCACTTCTTTTATTTTTACTAATTAAATCTTCATATTTTTCTTCTTGTGCAATAGAGTCCCCCTCTGATCAGTACTTTCCATTTACCACTGGCATGCACAAAGATGACACTACAGGTTCTCTCCCCCCACTCTCCCCTACAGGGCATATGATATGAATTCTTTTTCAAGGATGAGGATGAGGCTGAATTTGTGCTAGGCTGCCATCCTGGCCCCGTCTCCCTGGTATCCACCAGCTCGCATTTGCCAGATGGCTGACTGAGCTTGGAGGGGCTACTGGGGCAAAGACAAAGACATAATCACCGAACTCAGGACCCTAGACTTAATATCACTGTGAGCTATTCTAACAGGCTGTGGGCACTAAGAGACCGGTGATTGTCAGGGCCCACCTGTGCCAAGTGTCCAAGTCCACCTAATTCAGGGCTCAGCAGGAAGCCCATGAGTAATGCCACATTCTCCAAATTCATCTTTATCAGTAAAAAAGGTGATATTTTGTTCTCTATTAAAAAACATCTTTTATGGAAAATGTCAAACACATAATCCTAGAAGAACAATATAGCATGAACCCATCACCTGGCTTCAAATACCATTAGCTTACGGCCAACCTGGTTTCATCTCTACTCTCACGCTTTCCCCTCTCCACCAATATTTGGAACCCAGACATCATTTCATCTGTAAATATTTCAATATGTGTCTCTAAAAGACAAGGATATAAAAAAAAGCATAGTTTTAATATTATTATCACAGTAATTCCTTCATAATGTCAAATATCAGTAAGTTTCACATTTCCTTCAGAGTCTCAAGAAATTACTGTAAAGCTTTGTTTGAATCAGGATCAAAATATATTCTGTACAGTGTGACTGATTGATAAGTCCCTCAAGCCTCTATTAATTTGTAGGCGACACTCCTCCTTTTTCATAATTTTTAAATTTCTCTGTATTTTTATTGGTTTAGAGCTCTAAAGGAAAAAGGAATGCCATTTGTTGCTTGCCCCAAACTCCCACAGGAGTTGTAATCTTACAGAACTTAAAGAACATAGAGCAGATTATTTTTTCTTGCACAGAAGACCTTGGTTGACCTGTTAAATTGTGGACTCACTAGCATGAAGTTTCAGCCTGAGAAAATGGTATGTTTTCTTTCCTTTTTAAAACTTTTTTTTTGGCCAACATTTTAATTGAGACATCCATTTGTATGCAGCCCAGTATGGGCTTTTGGTCTGGCATTTTGTTCAATCTTTCACACATTCCTATGAAGGATGGTTTGTGGTGAAGATTAAGCCGGATAATAGACCCAATAATTCTGGATGATGGATTTGAGGGTCCAAGAGGAGAAACTCCTCCAGCCATTCATTTGGTAATTCAAAAAGCTGGGATTTGAATCCACAACTGTTTCACTTCAAAACTCATACACTTTTTTGCTATGTCTTCCTTATGGGCCAAGGACAATCTGAAAGGTGATCAAACAATTAAGAATTCTTTTAAAGTCATAGCCATGATCCAGAAAATATAATTAGTTTAGACAAACTGGTGAGAAATAATGATTGAAAGAGTATTTAAAATCTGAATTTAAAAAACAACAAAAAATGAAAGTACTATAAAAACAATGTCTAGGGGCGCCTGGGTGGCTCAGTTGGTTAAGCATCTGACTCTTGATCTCAGCTCAGGTCTTGATCTCAGGGTTGTGGGTTCAAACTCCATGCTGGGCTCCATGATGGGCATGAAGCCTACTTTAAAAGCAAACAAACAAGCAAAAAAAAAAAAAAAAGCAATGTTTATAATGAAAACTTAAAGGATCACTCAGCATATGTGATTGTGATCAAAAGACTACTGAGCTATTCCTGTCTCAGACTCCTTGGTTGCTCAGAACTCTCAAGAGGGACGCTGCCTCAGCAAGGCAGGTGTGTCCCGTTTACTCCAGAGCAGGTGCTTTAACTCACTGCAAGGTGCCCACGTGTACTAGGCACCAAGTGAGACATGTGGAGAGTTGCCACCTGCCCACCCATACCCACTTATGTGCCACCACCATACCCTGTGTTTTCCCTAGAGAAACAATTTCCACTCTATCGAAATTTCTTGTTTATGCATTGTCTGTCTCACTGGACATGGAGATTCTTGAGGATAGGGGTCTTGCTTGATTTCCCTTTGAATGCCCAGTACCTGCCATCTGAGAATTAATGTATTTAGAAGGGAGCATGCTAACTCTTAAGAGAAGTAAGGCATTATTATTATTATTATTATTAAGTAAACTCTACCTTTAATGTGGGGCTCAAACTCTTGACCCTGAGATCAAGAGTCACATGCTCCACTGACTGAACCAGTCAGGCACACCTAGAAATAAGGCACTGAATGATAAATCCATGGAAAGGAATGGTTTTCTTCTCTGAACAGCTGGTAGACCTGGGTGTAGTAAAGCTCTCAGATTTTCTCACTTATTTTACTCCCTACTTGTCACTCTTCTCGCAGCCTGTAGAGGGCAGTGTGGTGGATAGGACAGGGCAGCCTTGTGTTGCAACAGATCTGGAATCCTGACATTGACACTTAGTAGCTATGTGACCTTGGGCATGACATTCCCTGCTTTTTGCTTTCATTATAAAATGAAGACATTATTTAAAGCTCTGCAGGAAGGCAGTGGTGAAGCATTAGGACATGGTATGAAAAGTCTCTTTCCTTCCTTATGAGCTCAATAAATGTTTATTCTTCTTCCTCTGGGCATACAATTGACAATAAGCTCTTGCATTTTTATAGTACTTTGTGGTTTACAAAGCTCTTTCATAAACATAATTACACTTTCCAAATATCTTGTTAAATCTTACTGGTCAACTGGTTTTAGTAAACTCTATGAAATAAGAATTTCTTTTATTTAAATTAAACTTGTAAGATCTGTCTTTTCAAGACACTAATTTTTTTCAAGAAAGACATTAAGTTGCTGAGGATTTGTAGGAATTTTATGGCATATTCCATATTTGTAATGAAATCATCTATATTTCTGGGTCCCCAAAGGCAGGCAAGGAAGTGAAAAATGAACTACATTAAGGCTTAAATGCTTTTAAAAAAATCAGGAGCTAATGAAGTCCTGATATTACTTCAAGTTAAGGGAAAAGAAAGCATACCAATAATTAGAAAATACCATTTATGATGGCAAAACAAGTTTCAGAAAGTGACATGAATGCAGTATTTAATATTTCATTAAACCTTGTGTCTCTGACCTTGTGACTCTCTCACCTTCTACTACTTCAGAATTCCAAAATGTTCCAACACTCAATGCAGTTAAATAAGTGTGTGAAGCATATTTAAAAATAAGAACAAATCCAAATATTTTTCATATACCTTGCATCTCTTTCTATAACATAAGAACCCAGTGTTTGCTTATTTAGCTGTGTAAGATAAAGTTTCTGTATTACATGGTACCAACGGCTTTACAAAAAACATCTCTGTTGGACTTTAATATTCATCAAAAACTTTAGTGTGGAAGGACCACAAGAGTTCCTTCTAAGCTTTTCTGTTTTGGTTTTTATTCCTTGTGGGTGTGCCCTGTGCTGGTCATTGTGCTTAAGTAATGACCCATAAAACATGCCGTTGTTGTAGAAAGGGCATTTCTGGTGGACGTCCGAGGAAAGGTCCTTGTTCCCAGTCTCTGGAAACACATTCCTATTTAATGAAGAGAAGAACTAAATGGAGAGCTGCCCTAAATGGGCAGAAGAACTAAATGGAGACTCTTGGTGCTGAGTCTTTAGGACAGAGGCATTATGAACTCTAGGGGAGTGGAATGTTTGCTAATTGAGACTACTTTCTTGGAAGTCATTATCAACTTTTTAAATTATTTTATTTTTTAAAAAGATTATTTATTTGAGACAGAGAGAGAGAGAAGGAGAGAGAGAGAGAGAGCATGCATACAGGGGGAGGGGCAGAAGTAGGGGGACAAGCAGGCTCCCCTCTGAGCAGGGAGACCGACGGGGGGCTCGATCCAGGACCCTGAGATCATTACCTGAGCCGAAGGCAGACGCTTAACCAACTGAGCCACCCAGGTGCCCATCAACTTTTTTTAATAAAGAAAAAGGGATTCCATCTGACAAAGCCAAAAAAACATCCAAAATTTTCCCACACTTTTCACTCTGCTCTTTCAAGGTGGCAGGAGTTTTATTTAATGC